AACTTACACCATTCTTCAACAACCGAGGTTCTGATTTGGTTTCTGTTTCATCCCTGCTGACTCCTAGTTCTGTGCTCTTTGCCTTCCCCAGAAATCTCTTTCCCATCTTCTTTTGGGTTCACATTTCCTCGTTTTCTTCCTGTCCTTCAGCTTCCACCCCAAACTGTCTACTGTGGTGATGGGCAGTGACGAGGAAGCAAGAACCCTCCTTTGGCTCAGAGCTCAGGCCAGTACTGGGAACACACTGCTGCTTTGGTTACACGCTACAGGACAGCGATAGGAACACAGCTTTCGTTTTCAGCACTGCTGAGCCCCTGCCAGTTCTGGGGCTGAGCACATCCCCTCCTTCTTCAGGGAGTTCATCTGGTGTCAGCCCAGAACACAGCTCAGCGTCTACCAACAGCAGTCTCGTGTGTTCACGCTGCAGCAGCTGCAGCAGGAGACCCTGAGTATTAGCAAAGCACTTCTGCTGAAAGCTGCCCAAATTGTAGGGAGTCAGGCCAATACAGGTATCAGGCACGGAAATTTTCATCTGGGTGAAGTAGCAGCAGTAACTCATCATCAGCAAACAGTGATCCTGCTCAGCACTACAGCATTAGAGAAGGGAGAATTTCACCACTGATTCAGGATGAGTTTGTGGAAAGAAAAGATCTGTTTGTTGTTTCCCTGTTGTTGCACACCTAAAAATGCTGCCTGCTGAAGGACCTGTGTCAAGCCAGGGAAGTACTACAAGAGTAGAAGGAAAAAATAGTAATCTGTTAAGTATTGGTGAATTCCTTCCTGAAGCAAAACTTTTACTATCTTCAGTAGAGGTGAGCTTTCAGTTTGGACTTCATACACTGATACAGAACTGTACCTGTGCTCTGGTAGTGGCCAGCCCAGGTCCTTCCAAGAAGGTGCAAAAACCTGCAACAGGCACTGGTGGGATGACTGGTCCTGACATTGGTGCTTGGTACAAAGCTTGAAGATTAATTGTAGTCCTCCCAAAAACCACTCTGGAAACTGAATTGGGCATTCCCTGTAGAGACAATTGCACAGATTTCATGAAGGACTTACCATTTTCCACCATTTTTGTCTAAGGCTTTTGTTATGCTTACTGTGACCCAAGCTAAGCCACAGTGGTTACTGCTGCTGCTGTCTAATACCGTGGATTCTTCCCTGCCTCTCTTCATGTCTCCCCTGCTGCCTCCAGTATCAGATGATAATCTGCATGACCAGACTTCTGCTCTGGATTTCTGATCCCTCTTGGCACAGGAAGGATGGACCTTAGAAGACCACCATGTCTCTGAGGCCTGGCAGGGAACCTCTTCATCCAGGATCACTAGATCCTACTGCACTGCAGCAGCTGTTCTGTTCCCTCTTTGTATGATGGTCAAATTAGACTTGCTAGAAAATGCACTAAGCAAAAGGAATATGAGGTTTATTTTATTAATCAGATATTTTCACATATCAATGAATCAGATCTCATTTCTTACTCGATGTTCCAAGTACCCAGCTGTTTTGAAGCATTGCTCCAATTTAGTGCATTTGCAGCCAAGCAAGAGGTGGCCATATACATCTACAGATGATCTTCAATATCTCAGACTCAGCAAACAAGACGGGGAGGATTAGAATCAGCCTCCCCTGTGCAACCACACCATCAAATTTTAGAAAGTCGAAGGTCAAAGTTCTGTAAAGCTGGCAGCCTGCATGCCAGGCAGTGTTTATCCCCCAGGTCCAAGACATGAATGCATGTTAATTAAATAAAATGCTATCTGCTCTGGTTGTTTAAATAGCTCTTTATAGATTGTATATCAGAGGCACCTTGCAAGTTAAGAGGTTGATACCTCTTAATTTTTCTTGCTGTTGGTGGTATTCAATAAAATTTCTATCTTGGTTTCTAATTTGATTTTGTAAAAGATGTTTTTTCCATATTACTGTTCCAATTTCTTTCATTATATAGCTACATCAAAGACAGTCCTGAACCAGGTTAGTTTCCAGTATGAAATTAAGGCTTGCTGTTTATTTTCAAAGGAATTAATGTGGGGGCACCTGGGACTGACTCTTATCGTCTCCACTCAGCTTCTTCCCAACATGTCACGTATTTTTCAGGTTTACTGTTCATGCTCCTTATGGCTCAATTTTCAACCATATTTTTCAGCATCACTCTTCTTATCTCGCACCAGGCACATCATGCAACATACAGGATATTATAAAAAACAAAAGACTCACTACTCATACACAAGCACACACATACCAACGACTTGATAAAATCTGGATCAACTGCCAGAATTACTTGAAATAAAACCCTAACAAAAGTCTTGATGGGACACTCAAACCTGGTTAATCCAAAACACTTTGCAAACTATTTTTATTCAAATTAAAAAGACTCAGGTAAACAAAGTGATGGTACATACATGTTATAAGCCTGGTTAGCAGCTTAACCTTCAGCAGTACAAGATCTAATGAAAAGCCAAGCATCGATTAACCAGGTCCAAAAACATACGCTGAAAAAAAAAAGTCACCAACATCAACATTTTGAATTTTTACACAAACAGTAAATTTTCTCATGGAAGGACTGAGGAAGAGAACAAATAATTATTAGTCATCTCCAACTGGTTTATGAAAATATCGGTCCTAGATTAATCTATTTTCTACCCTCACAGAAGCCAACCATTTCCCATACATACTTTTATTTTAATATGAAAGTTTTTGTTCACGCCAGTACAATAAATGGCAGTGGAAAACAGATGAGGGGCTCAAATACCCACAAAGAGAGAGAAAGACAGAAAGATCTCATCTTTTTTTTTTTTTTTTTTTTTTAAACCAGAGTCAGAAAACTGTTTCTTTTGCTGGTTTTGAATTCTAGACTGTAGCCATTATATCCTAAATTTTCCTGCAATTGACTGAAATGCCTCCAACACACAGAGACATGATTTTGAAATAAATAAACAAAGCTTAAAATAATTGATTAGGGCCAGCCCAGTGGCTTAGTGGTAGTGCTCTGCACTGCCTTGTGGGAAGACCCAGGTTTTGTTTGCAGTTCCAATCTCTTGCTCCTGGGCTGGGAAGAGCAGTGAAAGGAGGGATTCAGCAGCTCAGGCAGGAGAGCCAGTGCTGCAAGTCTGCTCATCACTGACCTTCAGATAAATTAAACATCTGAGTTATACAGGCTCCAAAGGGAGTCCCATCCAGTCCTCAAAAGAAAATAAATATAACAATAACTTAATTAAAATCCATCCCAGGTTCTTTGGTGTAATTTTTGTTAATGCTGAGAAGTAGGAGAATCTGGTGGTGTATTAGTACAATCCATTCCAAATACTCAAAAACTAGGATTTGCTGCCTGATTCGTTTCAAAGTCCCATCTTTGTGGCTAAAAATTCCAAAGCTTATGGTAATTTAAACACATTTTAGGATGATACTGTATATATGGGGGTGGTCTAAGACTATTCAGTTTCTATTTTATTAAATAAACTTTGTAATTTACAAGGGCTGTTAAAGAATTTCTGTATCACAGCTGTGCTACTTGTAGAGTTCAAAATGGTAATTTCCCTATATGCTGCTTAGCTCCATTTTCTTCACATCCATTGCACATCTGACCTAAACTGTCCTTAAGTGCCTATTTCTAAGTACATGATTTTTCTGTGCAATGACCAGGGGATTGCAATAGGAGAGGAATTAACCAGCAAAATTAAATAACAGCTTATACTTGCATATACCACTTCCCTCATCAGTATTAATTACATCAGCAAAAGAGAATCCAAGACATCCCATATCTGAAGAAAAGTACTTAACCTTCTTCCAAATGTACTTGAATAAAAATGTTCTGTACTATTAGACCTAAAAACCCCCACATTTACACATGATGAACATCTCTAGCAGTAAGATGAAAGGGTATAATTAACTCAGTTCTTTTGGACTGAGTTCTAGTGACCGTGTTCCTGCCAACATTTTTTCCAAATTAATATTGTTTTCCCAGTTACTTAATGCAATCCAAAAGTAATAATTATTTTTGTAAGTTAAGTATATGAAAGGATTTACCTTTAAACAAATAGCTTTGCAGTCCAAATGGTTGGTTAGTTATGAGGACAGGTAAGTCTTTACCAGAAGGCAGTCACAATCTTGTAATTTGGCAAGAAGAGTCTACACCTACCTTACTTAGTTAAAAAAAGAAAAAAAAAAAAAGAAAAAAAAAAGGAAAACCAAAGAAAAAACAGTCCAAAATCCACTGAAGACTGCAATGCAAGTACTCTGTTTCCCAATGTACTAGGTATGCTGAACTTACACATACCATACAGCAGTATTTTACTTTTAAGTTCATTTAAGTGTCGAATTTCTCAAATTTTGCATTGCAAAACTTTCATTAAGGTGAAATCAATACACTTAAAGAAAGCAATACAAAAATGTCATACAATGCCCAATAATCAACAGAACATGTGTGAATTTAAAAACATCACATTACTTCACTAAAAAAAACCCACAACTTTCCTTCTCCTGCAACTTACCTTCAAGACCTGACCTAGTTCTGCATGCCCTTCCCACATGCAGACAGAATTGCTTAGGGAGGAAACTTTCCCTTCCTACTGCTCAGTGTTGGGGACATGACAGAACCCCCAAAGCACATCATGGTAGATGAAACATTTCACCTCCTAAGGGCATGCCAGCATGTGTATTGTGTTACTGATTTAGGATCACAATGGCCTTGGCTACACAGTTAACTAACTAGACAGGATTGGACAACATTAGTCCCATCCACACTGGCACTTCCATGATTGCTGTGGCCCACTCAGCTGCCTCGGTAATGACCCAAAATGTCATTTTTTCCCTAACATCAATGCACATCTTACCTTTAGCTTCTTTTGAGAGATCCTTCCCGCTCACATCCAAGCCAGATTTCTGCTGGAAGTGGCTAGCACACACAAGCACCTGTACACACGTTCTTCTAAGATGTAAACTATGACTAATTTCACATTCCATTGTACCAACCTGCAAATACTTTGTGTTTGTGGTTTTTTTCTTATTTTATATAAAAACAATGGCATCAGATTCTCAGCAATAAAGTATAAGAAAGATGAATCCTCGACTACACTTAACCCATTATGAAATTGCCTTTCAAACAAAGGAAACATATGCAAAAAATCCGTGTATTTGATAAAGTCAACTTAATATAACAAAAAAGTGAAATATGCTTATTAAAAGTGTCCTTATATAAAAATGGTCTTGCAATGTACAGTAAAATGCAATACAAATTATTATTGGTTATCTCTCCCCACCCAGTAACTAAAACAGCTATTGTTCCACAAAACTCCTGTTCTGCCAGAATCAGAGGAGAGAAGCAATGATGTGACTAAACATTCTCAATGTTGTAGGCCTGGCGGATGTTGAGGGTGTCTCGCAGCATCAGGTCTCGTAGCCGCCACAGGGCGTCAGCCATGGTGGTGTGAGCCCCTTTGCTCTTCAGCCAGTGGGAGGGGAGTCTACTCTCCTGCTCTTTCGACAGGTGGACATCTCGCCTTCGTGCTGCAAGATCAAAGGGGTCCCATTATCTACTGGGTTTGACGTTCACCATCATTCTTCTAGCAAAAGGGGAATGTAATTCTACAGTGTAACCGAGTATTTAAGCCCGTACAATTGATTCTTAGATTTATACAACACTGATGCAATTAGCCTGCTGAGAACATATATATTTCCAGTCTGTTGATTCGTTTTTAACAACTACTTGCATGTCTACATTTTCTTAAGTAAGCAGCAGATTAATTTAGCATTTTCCATAGAAGCAAAACAATACTAATGTTTACAAAGAAGTGTGTTCTCTGGAAACATCCCGCGCTGTATCAAAAGCCTCACCTGCAAGGGTCTGGTCCCACTTGCTAATGCTATTTGATTCAGCACTAAGGCCCTCGATATATTTCAGGTAGGCTTCAGAATGAAGAAGCCTCTGTGTCTTTGGTGGAGGGGAGACAAACATGGGAGTTGTGGGCTGCTGCATAACTGGCTGGCTTGCTGGGCTCTGGCCAGGGTAGGGAGGGGGCGCCTGCTGTCCTGGCGGGCCGAGGATTCCGATCTGCAACGACAAAGTGGCGGAGAGGTCACATCTGGGGGAACTGCAGGGAAGCTGCTTCACAGCTGTGCACAAGGTCATCCTCATACAATGGAGCTTCAAAACAGGTTATGAGCGAAAGCACAAGGAGGTTTCCCTGGGAGACACCCACTTCAGGCAGGGCTATCTGTTGGAGTCACTGAGATGCACAGAGAGGGAGTGCAAACAAACCACATTCATATTTAACAGACAACTCTGCTCATAAATCTAGCTATGTAAACATATTACCATTACCATTTCTCCTTTCACACCCTTTTGCCTCCTTTTTATTTCATAATTTCTCTAATTTGATCATTAACTGTGACCTGTGAAGCACAGGGTTAGTCTCTAAAACATCTAATCCAAACTGGCCCTGATCCTTGGATGACTGGGATACTTTCACTAAATAAATGCTAATTGCTATTGGTCAAAAATCACAGGCACACAGCAAAAAAATCCCAGTCACACAGAATTCCTACCACTGTGATTTAGTAGCCGTACTGAGAACTCTTAGCACAGATACCATGAGGTCTGGAATAACTTAATGTCATGACATACAGTTTACTACTTCCTTACTCAACTTCTGGTTTTCTTTACACCCTCTAGCCAAAAGCAAATTTATTTTTATGATGCTTTTTATGATCTTAGTAAAAAAAAAAAATTGGAAACGTGCTGAACACTTCATCTGCACTAATCACTGAGAAGATTGGAACACTTCATCTGCACTAATCACTGAGAAGAAAAATTTGATCATCACTGTTATCCAAACTCACAAACTCTAAGCTGCCAAGAAAATCTGCTTCATCCATTTGTGAAATACAGGAGCAAACAGCCAACAAGGGCTGAGAAAGTGGACAACACCCTCTGTGCATCACCAAACCATGCAAAACCTAAATTATCACCAGTCCAGCAGTGTGTTGAAATGACTCAGTTTAGGAGAAGGAAAGCAAAACAGTCTTACTTATACTGCAAAGTTATTCCACTCAGCAGATCCTAATTAGTCTAATAATTCAACCAAGATATACAGACATATACTCCGAGTGTAAAATATTAACTGGTTCTAAATACATCAGTGTACATTTGTTTTATGTTCTCCCTGAGAAAGGCCACGTATACTCCTACATGTCTTAACTAAGATGCTGTTTAAATGCTAATTCAGAGCCTTACAGCCTCATAAATAATGCAAAAATGACTCACCTGCTGTCCAAAAGGACTTGCTCCGGGTGCTGGAGTGCCTACCATGGGGGACACATTTTGGCCTATAACACCTATATTCCAAAATATAAAATAATTAGTCTTATTTCAGAGCAGTGACAAAAACCTCTTTCATCTTCTGTAGTAACAATTATTACTTTGGTATCTTTGCTCACAGTTATTTAAGTGATTTAATATATTCAAATATCCCCCTCTCCCCCCCCAAAAAAATCCAAACACTTTAGAAGTTTCTGAATGAAAAAAAAAAGCCAACATGACAACTACCAACAATTGATATGTGTCCTGTTGAATTAATTTACTTAAAGAAATACAAAGTGAGTATTTTGGCTGTCAGGTTTTTTTTCATGTTGCTTAGTGACTGCCTGACTATATATTTTCATTTATAATATACCTTTGGCTTGCCAGGATCTTCCTGGAATCCTTTAAGAAAGGAAATGCTGATTTGTCTCAGCTGCATCGAGTATGTGTTCAGCTTTATAAAATAAATTCTTAGCAGGAGCAAATAAAAGCCATTGCACAAATTCTGTTAAAATATCACTAATACCAAACACAACTTGCAGGTTAAGCTTAAGTTGTTTTATATATGAGACCAATGAACACTTGAAATATATTAAAAATCCCAACCAAACAAAACTGTTATCTTTTCTCAATCGTATTAAGAGGCTTTTCCCTATTGCACAGAATGCAGCAGGTAACACCCATGTCAGTCTTACGTACAAAAAATTTACAAAACTAAATGAGAATCATGCAGTTCCTGTATTTTACATACAGATGCTTTGATCTGAAAAAATGAAGGGTATGTGTGCTGCTGCTGGTTTTTTTTCTGTTTATGCCACTTCTTATTTTGAATGATGGGAAAAGCTGCAAACTAACTATGCCCTTCTTGAGGGTTTCATTTGCATGCTGATCAGTGATAAAAGATGTGCAACTGCATTTTACACACTAAAGGGTATTTTGAATGTGTGTTCCATTTGATGACAGCCCTTGTTTTAAATGCATCTGTACTAACAGCAAGCCAGGAGTTGGGAAAAATATTGATAATACAAGTTGTGGAATATGGCACAGGGTTGGTTTGGTGTTTTTTTTTGTACAAAGCAGAGAGGCCTGCAGGAGGGCATGCTTCCAGCATCAGAGAATGGTTTCACCCTCAGCCCACCCAGCCCAATTTAGCACCACTTCACATTTGTTCCTCCATTCCCAGCCATTGTTTTTACCCTAATTCATATCCTCTCAGTTTTTAACACCACACACAAAGCCCACTTCTCCAGTGGGAAAAACTCTTCAAAGAAATGCATTGTCCTGGATTCACCTCCCAAACATCTGTGTGTTGCTGATGTGTGCTAAATCTCACTGCCTAGTGAGCTGGGGACAGCCTGACAGACAGAACAGCTGTTTTCCTGCTCCCTCTGTGTGACATTAGGGTGAATCTCACACACCAGCAAGGCTGCAAGCTGCATACCTAATACTGATGGATTCTTTAAAAAACAAGCAAAAAAAACCAACAACCCAAACAAGCAATTTACATAAAGCCTTTACAGAGCTTCTGATAAACATAGTTGCAAAGTGGGGTAGGGGGAAGCAAATGAGACCACTTTTGTCCACAGCTTGTTTAACTGCTGAACATATGGGATGCACATCTTTTACAAAGACACATAAGTTATCAGAGGTAAACACTGAATGAATCAGCAAAAAACAGGATGAGAAGATGAACATTTTTTCCCACAACAGGGACACATGGAAGGCATTAAGACTGGAAAAATATTTGCAAGTCATTGTCTCACTTTTCATCAAAAGTGTGGCAAAAAAAAATAGTAAATGTGTAGTAGATCAAAAATAAAATTTGCCTACAATAGTATATTGAGTTCATCTTATCCCCAAATGTTTCCAGCTACTGTTCTATCAACAAAGTTTGATCTGAACACTGTTTTATAATAACCCATCAGTGTCCCAGTGGCCAAGGGGTCTTACATGACCAGGTTCATTGAGGTCTGACTACTGACAAACATCATCATACTAAAAAGAGCTGAGTAAGGAAGCAGAGCAATCCTTTTCACTTATAGGCCCACTTTAAATGAGAAAAGGGGAGTGGAAGGATGCTGTTGAAATTACTTAAGGATATGAACAGGCTGGATTTCAGCTTTTCAGACCTCTGATAAACTCAAGCACAATTGTCAGGTGTTTTGGCTGGATCAAAACTGCTGCTGGAGCATGTTTATCCAGTAACCTTTCCCTGCTGGTTTACTGGATGTGCTTCTGCCAACGTTTTGCATACACCTCACATATTCAGCAGTGCATTGTGTGTGCTGCAGCTAAACCATCCTGCAACACTCAGAAACAAAAGCTATGACCAAAACAAGCTGAAAATAATTCCTGTAACAACTGGTTAAACGACAAGTACATGAAAATGAAATAAGGAGTGAATGAGGATGACATTCTTACCGGGTGGTGGGATGCCTGGGATGCCTGGCATACCTGGCGGAAGTTGGTGGGGTGGGGGCACCCCTGGGTGAAGTGGCTGCATGCTGCCCATGCTAACAATGCCATCAACTGGGCCCTGCAAAGGTGGCAGCACCGGTGGATAGCCACTTATCATGCCTTGAAGGACACAACAAATTTCAAACATGCATCAATAACATGCAATATGATCTACACAGTAAGACATGCACTATCCACAAAAAAAAAAAAGGGAAAAAAAGAGCACCTTTAGTACAGCAAGACGCTACTACAATTAGTATCTTGCAAAAATGAACAAAAACGAAAAATAAAGTTATAAATATGAAACACTACACTTTTGATGAATTAGTACTTAGTGTATTTGTATGTTTCTCATGGGGCAATAAATGCTGGGTATTCAGACACGTTAACATAAAGAATACGTTCAGCCATAATTACATGTTACTAACGCAAGCAATTTTAATTCAGCTTAAAGCTCTGCCATCTGCATCCAGACTACAGACACAACACTAGCTACACCAGCTCCATGTAGAGCCCTGCTGTGTGGGCTAGATCAAAGACCAAACTCAACTGGAACACAAATAAAAACCTATACATTTTTCTGCATTGCATATGCAATATCAACAGACAAAAGCCCTACAACATACTTAAAACTAGCAGCAGTGACAGGGGTGATTTTTGTTAAACCATCTCCAGTATAAATTAAGGAAGCAACTCAAATTTTAAACCTGTCAGCAATGTGCTGAGCTGCAGTGACTTACAACTCATGGCATTAGGCTGAAGTAAAAGAATTTACAAAGAGTTCCTGAAGTTCCTCACAGACTCTCACTAACACTGTTTTCAAGGTTTCTTAATAGGATAATCAATAGTACAAAGAGGACGGGTTTGTGTTGCTGCTTATAGCTTCAATTTTCTGAGTGTAAGGAAAGACAACTTAGAGCTTATTCTGCTATTGACCCAGGCTTGTTGCTCTCCATGAGGTGAATCTATACAATACAACCACATTTTTGTTTATTAGGTGCTAGAATGTAACTTGCTTGTCCCTCAATTGTCTCCTGGGCTTTTTAATTTAAATGGATTCGCTGTCAGGTAACAAAGGAAAAGTGTTAGAAAGACAATGAAAAGATAACAGAGGACAGAGCAAGTCTAGAGAGATGAGGTATGTTTAGAAATGTGTAATTGCTGGGCTTTCTACAGTATGTTTCAAGAAACCACCTACTGAAACTTTGCCACTCTCCCAGGAACTCAGAAAAGAAACTTTCAGAACAGGGACTTCTGGAATAAGACCAGCCAAAAATAAAGCCATCATGAGCTCAGGATTGAAACAGATGGGGCAGCTTCAAAATACAAGCTAATTTGTCAGTTCCTAAGGAAGAGCAATAAAGGTGAGAAACCTGAAATTCCAAAAGCTTTACATGGAACAAACACCAAGAAAATAAAGAACTTATTTCCCTCAAATATTAATTTTCCACAGGACACCTAGATTGACGCTTATTTAATAGGTCTTAGGCACCTATTTCAAGTATCTGGAAGCTCATCTGTCCCTCTTTATTAACAGTGAAATTCATATTTCTATTGGAAAAGGTAAAAGAAGAAATACAACAGAAGCATCCCTAGAATAAAGGGCTTTCACTGTAGCTACTGCCTGGTAATTCCAGCACACCTTGAGCTTCAATCACATCTTCAATGCATTTTCATACACTTCTGAAGCTTTAAAAGAAAATAAACCAAAAACCTCCAATGAAACAAACCCATATTTATCAATCACAAAAGCTGATTTATACAGTTCCAAATAAAATACTCACTCAACAGCTGGCAGGATTAATAAAGTTGTAAACAAATCTCCACGACAAAACAGTTCTTGTAGCTTGTCACAAGGTTGTAAGAGCAGCCACTTTCATACCCCTCCTACAACTTACCACTTTGATTTTAAACTAATAAACATGGGGAAACTATTTCCATCTCCCACAGCTGTGACTGTTACGGTCTTTCAAATCATCTGCTCTCCCTTCTTCTACTATCACAATGTAAGATTAAATAAACTTTTGCAATGCCTAAATTTACAAGCTAGTAGAACGTTGTGCACTAAGAGAAATGCATCTCAGAAGGTACCCAGAGTTCTTGGACCTGTAGGTCATAAAGAAGTTCTATGAAATTCCATGATGGAGAAGTTCGCTGAACTAGAGAAAAGCAAACAAACTATGGAGGAGGATGTGAGAGGTCTCAACAGAAAAAGATACTTCTAAGTAAGACTTGTGGAAACTAAAAGATGAAATACTGTGGTTTTAAAATGGTCCACAAAAATAGAAAGAGTTTAAAAGGATCCACTTGATCATCCACTTTAAGGAAATATTTCACAATGCCAAAGTGAAGAGACTTGAATGTCTAAACACTGAGCAAGATGATGGTCTTAAATACTGGTTTGCTTTTGAGAAGGCTGCTGCAATAAGTAAGCCAGCACATGTAGTTTGCAGAATGCACATTTCCAGAAGGTTTAAGAAAGTGTCAGTAATAGGTATTACTGCCCATCAACACCTACCTCCAGAAAACTGGAAAAGTGACTCAATGCCAAAATAACCAAGAACCAAACCAAGAAAACACAACCACAAGAGGATGATGTTTCTACATATGCTAGATTGAAGTAGTTGACTCACAAAAAAGATCAGCACTGGAGAAATTTTTTTTCTTAATATATGCAAAGATATGTGCAAACACACAAAGACACACCAACTGCAAAAAGTTCAGAGGAAAATTATAAAGGATAAAGTGAAAAAAACAAGAAACTGTGATGAAAAATGCTTCAGGCTGTCAGCTCTAAATATGGCCACAGCCTGTGAGACAGGAAAGAAATAGAGAAATGACCAAAAGTAATAATGGAGTAACTGGAATACCTTATGGGAAAACGAAAAAAATCCCCAAAACTCAAAAGAAAAAACATCAAAATACTCATTTTTACCTACTCAGCACTACTTAGACCCTGACTGAAGCAATCTAATTATTTTTATTAGAAATGGGGGAAGAAAACCAAGCAGGTCTTATGCAATTCAGTTTCTCACCACTGCATGGCTGATTCCCATACAAGAATCTCCAGTGGGCTATACTGTCTTCAGATCTGCTATTGAAAATACTTACTCTGACTACACTCCCTATGAACTCAAGTCAGATTATAACCGGTCATGAGCACAACACTCAGCAACAGGGACCTTGTGGAAGATCTCTCCAAGCTCACTTCTATTCTGAAAAACACCAGGATTTTGTATATGTTTCTGCAACGGCTCTAGATCTTCGTCTGCTCTGTTTGTCAGTGTCTAACCAGCAATCCTGTAAAGCTTTTGCTTGGGACTAAAATCTGGTTTGGATTCCGTTTGCCTCTCACCTTCCTAACAAGAATAAATAAATAAACAATCTGCCTCCTGCTTCACCACTTCCACTGATGCTGCATGCACTACAAGAGTGTATTTAGCTCACTCCCCTCCTGCCACAGCAGGCAAAGCAGAGTGAATAAACATGACTGCACACAAACAGAACAGAAATACTGCACAAGGAAAACCCTTTTTTCCTGCCTTTCCAACGGGCTACTCACTAGTGCTGCAAGTAACGTGGGACTATCAGGCCACTGCTGTGGTTATGTACACTCATTACGACCAAAGACTGAAGAAGCTGAACTTTTAGCTTTTTCTTCTGTAAGAACAAAGTGACCCAAGAGAGTGTTCAGAGTTATGAAGGGGGTTGATATAGTGGATGAGGAAAAAATGGTCATAGCTCCTACGTTTTACCTGCAACGGGTGTCAACTGCTGATTGAGCATTCCCATTGGTGTTGGTGGCGGCACCACCCCCATAAGAGCCCCGACAGGAGTGCCTGCCCGGGGGGAGGAATTCTGCTGCTGTGCTGCTCGCTCTCTCTCCTGCTGCTCAGCAACTTTAGCTGCCCGCTCTGTAAAAGTATTTTAGATTTTCAGTTCTGTTTTGTAACCCAGAATTTCAAAATATTATCTGTTCATTAAAAAGGACTAGTCAAACACTGGCATAGTTTAGTCAAATATAAAGTAGAACAGATGAATCTTTTTATACAGCATATGATTTGATTTCATGTGGCTGCAGCTAAGACTTTTAGAGAACCTTTAATGAAAAATATTCCACAAAGTGTTATCTTTTTCTTTTTAAAAAAATATTAAAATAAATAATAAAATAAAAATTTAAAAAGTCAAAGAACAAATTTGATAATAACACCAGTGTTACCAACATGAAGCAGCAGTCCAGCACTAGGCACAGTCCACGCTAGGAAAACGTGGCAAAACATTCCCTCTTTTGACACCACTGGCTCAGCTGAACCAGTTACGGCCAAGGCCAGCAGCTCTCATGTATATTTGCTACCAGCTGCTGCTGGAATTGTTAAGCACTATGCCCTAAAGTAAGATAAAAGCAGCAGACAGCAGTGCCAGCCAGTGGCCCATTCGTTCTTGGGCTCCCCATATATTCTACTGCTGATGCAGCTGAAAAGTGGTAGCAAAGTCGGGAAGCATTTGCAAAGTTTCCCTAGTGTAGATAGGTCCTTAGTGTTTGGAACATAACAAGCAGCAGTTTGATGAATTAAAAATATTGTTTTCTGCCTCCTTCTGTTGTTTTCCCCATTCTTATCCCCTTTGAGCTATTATTTCTTTCTTTTTAATTTTTTTTTTGGCTGAAGATGTCTAACTCACATTGTGCTGCTCACTGGAGGTCATGTGTGTCCTTTGTACGATGAATCTGGTCATTATCTCAATCAAGTTTCTCACTGTGACTGCAAGAACAAAAGGTCTACTGCAGGGGAATCTGACCAGAGGACAATTTGATATTAAGGGAGGGGCAAAAGGTCATGGGAAGAAGAAAGAAAAACAAAACCAAAACAACAACCCAAGCAAACAGAGGAGATAAACTGAACGCACACTCAAGGTGCTTTGGGGACATGCAAGTTGCTGATTTGTTTACTCTGAACGTTGTTATCTGACTGACACAATGAGGAACAACAAAGAATAAATGAATGCAGCATACACCTCCAGCAAATTTTAATAACACTGAATGCAGGGTTAGAAGGTCTCTTGCAGTTGGTGAAAGATGAAAACTGCCACCAAAACAGCAATCACAAGAAGAAGTTCATCAAGGAGATTAAGTTATGCATCCTGCCAACATTACTGATTTTCTCTAGTGTACGACTTCAAACGTCTATCATGCATTTGCCTCCTGTAGAACCTTGTTTGTGCAGCTTCTAGCACTACTTCAATACACTGAAAGACCAGTTTCATTTCCAAAGGCATGTCCCTCCTTCTTTTCACTTCTCTCATTTCGGGAAGCGATGACGACGCACAGAAACTCCTGAATTTCCTACAGGCAACTCATATGTGATTAAGAACAAAATACAGAAGACATTTAAAGGTAGATCCTGAAGTAGAAAAATGAGATAATTCTCTTCAGAGCAGAGCAAGTGTCTGGGGAAAAGATGGTTCCGACTCCCACCTACTTTTGGCCAACTAAAAGAAAATGGTCAGATAAAAGCAAAAGTTCTGAAGATGCTGTGATGATCGAGAAATTACGGTAAAGTGTTCAGTTTTATCAGACTTCAGAGTGCTAAGCACTGAAGAAGGACCTTTGAAAAAGGACAGTACTTGAGGTTCTACCTAGTCTCTATCCATGACTGCCATAGAACTAACAGCTGAAAGTGCTGCCAAGGGGAACTGTAGCAGTTGTCTAGAAGTTCAGCCTTGAGCATTCACCCTAATGCACCTTCAACACTAAATCCAAATTGTTTAGGCCAGGACTTGAGATCATTCAGACATTTCCAATACATCTCAAGAGACATTCTGCTTTGAACAGAGCTTTACCTTAAAAGAGGCCTTCATGTCAGTCCCATGCATTATTCTATTATATTTTGAGGGGTTTCCACAGTGCTGTTTGCCATGCAGTCATTTCCAATGCAGCCTGTTCCTTGGTCAACTATTGCTATAAAAACAACTATTATCCTGCACATATACCAAATGACATTTTCAGTGGGTCAAAATGGATCTCAAATGCAAACTAATTTTCACCAGAACATGGAAAGGCACTTTTTCACTGAAATGAACCATGCCTGTTCCCTGTTCCCTGGTGCATGTCCGCACTAGGGAGCATGTGAATTTTGACTTGTCACAGTGGAAGGAGAGGAGTTTCTCTTTCACACATGGTAAGCAAACACAATTTGGACGCTTCATAACCCCATCCCAATCCTTCAAAACCAAACAGAAGTAGGTTTTGCTCTGCGCAGACACCACGCCAGAGAAACTGCAGGCCAAAACTCAAAAGCTTTGGAAAATGTAGAGAAAGAGGATTAAAATGGAAGCATGTAGGCAATCATTAACACAGTGGCCAGACACTGTTGCTACCATTACATTACAGCTATGCCTTCCTGCAGAAGTGCAAGACATCAAGCTGCACTAAGCTAGGAAGTGATGACATGCCAACCAACCTACTGCTTAAGAGTTAGGCTGTAAGGAGGGATCTGTCAATAAAAAGATACCACGTGCAACTAGAAGGGTGTAAAAGGAGACTACCAGAGGAAAAAAGGAAGGCCATAGTACTTTCACAAAGAAAAAGCATTACCATTTCCCTTCACAGCATTTGCAAATAGTCAAGTGGTGTAACATTATTCTCCAGGGTTGCAAAGAGGTACAACTGTAAATTCAGAAAGGACTGAGGCAGCTGAGGGTGGAAAGTCACAGCATGCAGGCTTCTGGTTTGAAGATCAAAGCTGCCTTTAAGTTATAAGCATGCAGAAAACCTACCAAATCTCATTTTAAAAAAAACTAGTTATAACTTTATTGGGCAGTAACTTTCTTGGGTATTGAAACTTTTCACGTAGCATTTCCAAGAAATCTAAAGTATTGTTTTCTTCCAATAAAATTGCAATGGTTGCTTAAATACAAATGGGTTTTATATGGGAAGTGTTGACACATTATTAACTGGATGTAATTGTGGATGTTAAGCCAACATATTGGCTTGGGTAAGGGCCTGCTGTTAAAGATCAATTGTATTATATTTTAATAAAATAAAGTTGAAACACAATGACCAATACCAGTAGGAAATAAAGAAAGACAGAAAGAAAGAAAGAAAGGTCTGAAGTATCTCATGCCTATGAAATATTAATAGGCTTACTTCAGGATATTAGATCTCTCGAAGTAATCAGTTACAACAGTGGATTAATACTGAGACTGAACAATAGGTCATATTTACAGTATCACAGCAGATTCTGCATTCTCAATTGTATTCCACCAAAGCTTTTTAGGACTCTAGTTTACTCTTAATCAAGTAACTTTATCCCACTCCACTGTAAGTCTTCTTACCTGCTGCTACAGCTCTGGAGAGCTTCTTGTCCAAATTTCCCCCCAGTCCTCCTTTAAGGAAACTGTCACAAACCATTTTTCAAGCCCAGGGTCTTCATGCTCCCTTACTTCTAATGTGTCCCCATTTTCTTGGTCTTTGTTCATTTGGTTAATTGTGGCAAAGATGTTTAAATTACCAGTTTTGCACTACCTAACTTAAACATGCTCTTTGCTCCTCTTCAGTCATCTCTCAATATGAACTTCTCTTTAGGGTACATCCAGAATACACACATAAATATCTTCTTTTATAAAACCTGTCATCTGAGTAACAGTAATGAAAGCATTGAGAAAGAAAAAAAGCAGAAAGGACTTTAGCATGTTAGTTTTTATTTACCTTCATATTCAGCTTTCTTTGTTGCTTCCAAGTTTCTCCATTCAGTTCCTACAAGCCTGCTGAGCTCTCCAAAGGAGTAGTCTGGGTGCTGAGCTTTAATCACAGCTCTCATCTCACTGCTAAATAAGATGTACCCACTCATGTTGATCTTCCTTTTTGATCCCTCCTTCTTGGTGCTGCCCTTAACAGACTTGGGAGTGGACTGTGAGAAAAAGCAGTTATGACCACAAGTGTACAAAAGAGAAGCTTCTTGACGTACAACATTCAAAGCTGTAAGAAACAGTATTTTAAAATATTCCTGCACTTCTCTTGAACATACTTGCACAAGGACCATCCAACCTTACAGCCCTTAAAGAGAGACTCTATCTCCTACTGATGCATGACAAGAGCATACACACACACTTAGGAAATTTACACAGGGAAAAAAAAAACAACCTGCAATGTTCTGATGCTTTTTAACCCTTCCAGACATATTGCCACCTTTATAACAGAGGCTTCAAAAAACTCTCAGTAAGACAACACTGAATGCATATTATTAGCTGAAATCATTCCAAACTGAATGAGAGGACTAAGAAAGGCTGAGCAGCAAATAAGTGTCTATTTGAAAGGCCAGAAGAGAATAAAAGTAATTGTGTAAGAGATTTCATCCATTATCCTGTTCAGAAATATTGCCAATACAAGTTGAATGTAACATTTTATTTGTCATTGCACATATTAGGGAAATGCTTCCCCACTTATTCCTGGGCCTTTGCAACCTCTGCTCTCCTGGGCTCCAACTTTCAACTCTTGTCATCCCTAAGTGCTCTCTATTTTGCCTGCCAGACTTTTCTTTCTCTCTAGTGTTGACCTCCCATTACATAAGTAGCCATTTCTCCCTGCAAAAGCCAAAGTCCAGCAGCACAACAGGGTCGCATCGTGTTCTACATGTTGATTGGTAACAAAAATTCTGCTCCTTTGTTTTTTCCACCATGGATGCTCCTGATGAGAGCTCCTTGATGTTTCCAGCCATCAAAAATCTAATCTATTCTGACAACTACTGAGATACCACACCAGGAACCCCCTTTTTGAAGGCTCCTCTCACTTCTATTTGTCACAGGAGACCATAACAGATCTGTACTCTGATCAACAAGGCTCTGATCACTGTGTCACCACACCAAAACACTCAAAAGGCCCTTCCCATATCCTGAACATCACAAATTTCTCACATCTTGAAAAGTGTAATTGTTTACAAATACCTGGGAAAATATAGGCAGCTGTTTTGGTTTTGTCCTGAAGTTCTGGTCATATTACTAACTCCTCCTACTTGCCACTTTCAGCCCTGCAGTTCAACACTCTCCTCTCAGCTAAAAACAAAGCTTCAGCAATACCAAGACACTTAAAAAGTCTTGACCATCAATTTAAGCAAGGCATTTAGTTCCTGTATTTTCTATTCTTTTACATCTCCAATGCATCAACTTTTTAATGAACAAAACCTTTCCATCTGAGTCAGATAAGTGCATATTCAGTTTTAGGTGTGTAAGAGAAGAAATAAACCAGGATCCCCCTTCTATGCCTTTTCTCAGCCATATTGCTAAAGCAAAAAATGAAGTTCCACATATTTTAATTTGAATCACAGCAAACTGCAGCAGGAGAGCATCATCCACCTATTTGTCAAGCCCAACAATACCACGTATTCACTTGTCTTGTCTCCTTTTATCTTTAGGTGTAGTAAGAACTTATATGTTATCAGGAGGAAAGAAGCTTAAAAATTCTGTTATTGTACTTTAATGTCAAATGCTTAAAAATAGTAATAGTATTACATTAGTTGGATGATGCTGATAACATGCTTTCTATCTAACACTCTGCCAGTTTTTATGTGACTTATGAAATCCAGCACATTAAAATAAGAGCAGAGAAACAACCTTGCACAGGCAAATGTACTTGGTGGTTTGCCCACACAGCACAAATCAGCATCTAAAACAGCTAAAGCTTTCAATTTCATCAACTCCTTTTCATGACATCCAAAGACAGTCAATTCTATCCAGAGGTCACATCCTTTCCTCAACTACCAACGAGGCTGTCACCTCACAGTCAATGTAATGCAGCAGAAATCCAAATTGCTGGATCTGAAAATGTCTGAAATTCCCTCCTGTTCCCAGCAAGCCATTCCCATTGCCTCTTCAATGCTAGCATGAGCTTGGATGTGGTAATGAGAAAGATAATGGGTTTAATCCAGTTGCAAAAAACCTGGTTTTGGATAGGTTGATTTCCAATGAAAGCAGTTCCTCACCATGCTTCAATATTCAGCTACATGAATGTCAGGGTTTGTTCAGGAGACACAGGCAAGAGGGAAGGGGGTCCAAAGTCCCCCAGTTGCAGCAGCACCAATCTCTCATGCCACATTCAAGCAGCATATAACAACACACAATTCCTCATTTACCTATCCATTTATCAGCAAATTAGTATTACAGCTTCCAGTACACCCAGTTCTTCCAATTTTTTTAAACAAGTTCTTATTTCCAGATTACTCAATAATCAAAGAGTGAGGTTTTTTCCTTTGAGGATGATGCACAGTATTTTTAAAAAATATTGCAAAACTGTAACACTCAAAATGCTACCTTTATTCAAAAGTTAAGGGAAAAAATGTGTTAAGTAATTTGAGAATTACATTTAAATCCTTAGATCCCAACTTTCTATTTTATGTAAGACCTAATATTTCTGATAGTTATTCCATAGACCAGTAAACTAAAGTATAAATGTCTCCTGTGTAGATGATAAAATGTTACTGCTTGCTTATTTGTGTTGGGGAAATAATGTGGAATATAAAGGTTTGAGGTTTCTCATGGAAGATCCTTACCTGTGGTGGAGTATAAGGCATTATATCCAATTCACTGGCTAATGGGGTCTGAAGCTGAGGCATAGAAGGTGTTTCAGTCATATCACCTTCCTCTTCTCCCATCTCTTCCATGTCCTCATCACCTCCTTCCAACTCAGCAAATTTTGCTTCTAGCTGCTGAATCTTCTTTTCCAGTAGTGGAGATGGTTCCTTCTGAGGAACTATGGGTTTTCTGAAAGGTGGAGGAGGAAGACAAAAAGCAGATGAGAATATACAAATACTTCAGAGGAGACAGCATATATTTTTTTAAGAGAAAACCAACTTTTCTTCCTTTCTTGCTGAACAACACAGGAACAACAGTGTGACTCAGGATGAGCCTGTGCTTGCCTTCAGAACACTGAGTAGAAATCATTCAGTGTCATAGAATCATAGAATGTGTTGGGTTGGAAGGGACCATTTAAGGTCTTCTAGTCCAACGCCCCTGCAGTGAGCAGGTGACCTCTTTAACTACATCAGGTTGCTCAGAGCCCTGTCAAGCCTGACTTTGAATGTCTCCAGGGATGGGGCTTTCAAAACCTCTCTGGTCAACCTGGTTCCAGTGTTTCACCACCCTCATGTTAAAGAGCTTCTTCCTAATGTCTAATCTAAATCTACCCTGCTCTAGTTAAAAGACCATTGTCCCTCATCCTGTCACTATATACCATTGCAAACAGTCCCTCCACAGCTTTCCTGTAGGACCCAGGTGTCCATGGGCAGTTTCATTTCAGTCACTTGTTAGAAGGATTTATTTTAAGAGGGGAAAAAATAAAGCAAAAAAAAAGCCACACATCATATATTCCTCAGATTTTACATTTTACTTAAGTTAGAACTTAGTATCAATGGTCATCAACTAGAAAGCTATTTGCTACCCATGCTGAGGACTTCAGTACTTTAACAACATCAAAGAGAATATACCAATCCGATAATGTAACTTTTACTGAAGTCAGAGGAAGAAGAAAAAAAAAAACCACTGGTATTAAGACCATGAAAACACTAATGCTATCTGGACTTCTTCCGAAAAGTGTGATTAGTCAAAATTCATGTTCTCCTACATCTGTGACTTACATAGGTACTGGGACTGGCTGTGATGGGAGTTCATTCTCTGCACAGCAGCCTGTATGGTGCTGTGCTTTGGATTTGTGACCACAACAGTGTTGATATCCTATTGTATCTTGTAGTTAAGGCCAATCAGTGTTGGCACATTGTACCAGCCTTTTCTTTTTCCCACTCTGCCCCCTGAGGAAGTAGACTGGGGTTGAGCAAGAAGCTGGGAGGGGACACAGCTAGGATAGCTGACCAAAGGGCTATTCCATACCACATGACATTGTGCTCAGCATTAATAGCTGGAGAAAAGGAGGAGGAAGGGGAGATATTCAGGGTTATGGCATTTGTCTTTCCAATAACTACGATGCATGCTCAGGTCCTGCCTTCCAGGAAACAGCCGAACATCTGCCTTCCCATGGAAAGGAGATAATTCCTTATTTGTTTTCTTTGCATGTATGGCTTTGCTTCACTTATTAAACTGTCTTTATCCTGACCCAGCAGTTGTTTTTCCTTTTGCCCTTCCAATTCTCTCCCCCATCCTGCTGCAGAGCAGCAAGCAGGCGGCTGGGTGGGGGCTCAGCTGCCAGCCAAGGTCATCCCACCACAATACAGAAGGCTGCTCAGGTGACCCCCCCACATTCCCACTACATTTTTACCTAAAATAGTATATCTCATCATCTACAACTTTTGCGGAGAGTGAAAACCTCTTCAGCCCTTTAAACTTCTTCATTTGTTTGTCGCTTTCATTGTAGCGGCTCTCGCAAAGGAAAACATCATTTTCAGAGATTTCTGTTGGTCTGCAGGAGAGGAAGTCTTTGAAGGACAGAACAGCACACTTTCCTGCAGAAATGAAAGAGCTGGGTAAGAAGGCAGTCACACTTGCAGACATTTTACAGAAAGTGTGGAAACTCAAGTTTTTGCCAGTCTGGATGATTCCCAGTATTTGGTACAACTATGGAAAACACACCAACTGATAATCCACATGCAGTAATGGCACTCATGAGAAACATACAAGAACTTCATGCAGCTTGTTCTTTTAAAAAGAACAAGAAAACCCCGGGAATATTAGTCAGTTAATTATATTTAGCATCACAACCACAAAACAAAGTACACTGTCAATCTTATGTAACAAACCAAATTTTAACCTCCTTCTGGACTTACTTTCCAGGTAACACATATTGAATAATTACAGTAATAAGCAAGAACAATGGAGTTTTCTGTTTCTGGCTGCAGACAATGTTCATTTTAATATTATACATATAACAAGCTTCCTTATAGTGAAAATTCTCACTACAGGTCCCAAAACCAGGAATGCATATAAGAAATGGACTTGAATATCTCTCCTCATCCGCTTAATACAGAAAAAGACCCATACTTGAAATCCAGCCTACACATAGCTATAGATCACTTCAGATTGCATAGAAAAAGAAACAGTGTCCATGGGATCTGAAGTTGCTAATAATTACCCAAAATGCATGTCATAGGACAGGTCTCCTCTAAGTTACTTAGAAACACTTCCTTCTTGTAGAACATTTTAGTTGGTTCATGTTCAGTTTCTTCAGGATGTATAAAGATTGGCCCAAAGAAATACGCAGCTCCATCTCGCACCCACATCTTTTCAATTCTGGAAAGAAAACCAAACCACTGACATCAATGAAAGGTCACTCCTCCTAAATGACACAGTTGAACCCATGGGGTTGTTCATGAAGACTGTCACTAAAAAACAAGTACAGAAGAACACCCTAATCCAACTGTACAACTTTAACACCTTTTAATTAGGCAGCTAAACTTCTCCCTCAATCTATTAGGGTTGTAACATTTACAATTTTCCTGCAGGAGATTTTTTTTCCCCACTCTCTTTTATACTTTTTGCAACGAGATTGTCTTTTGTCCAAGTGATTTTTATAGACAAAAGTAAAGAAGTTGCACCTACCTTCCCACTCGAGGTCGCACTAACCCATGTGATTTTATGAAGACACAGTCCCCAACCTTAAGCCACATATCATTGTAGCAGAGCTGCTCAAAGTAATGGCAACCAGGTTCTCCATTGGACATTTCTACTGGGACATCTTCTTTGTCCTGCAGAAGAATATGCATTTAGAAATTTATGGAAGAAGGAAAACCAAACATGAAAATAAAAACATGCCAGATGCAAGTAAAAGACTTTGCTCTATCTTTACGTTACAAATAATAAGCACGTACTAAAGAGATGTACATGCAAAAGTGAGGGGTCTTGAAATTAAAAAATGAAACAGCAAAGCCAAAGATACCCTCCATGTATGTTGCAAACTTCCCTAATTCACAAAACAGTAATTTTGGCAGAACAGTAATATACAGGTCCTTTTGTGTTCCAAGTCAACTGGCCAAGCCAAGCCCTATCAGCTTATTTTGACGGTTTGTTTTAAAGCACAGTAACATGCTTAAGAGGCAGGAGCTGAGTCTATGGGCAAGCTAGCATATACAGAAATTTAATTATTCAACTCTCATACACAGTGATATGAACACTTCATGTACTGCTTGCCAATTTCTACCATTTGCCCTATTTAATTTCTTAATTTTAAATCAAAACTCATATTGTACCTCATTTGTCCTTTTAGTCTAGAAGCTGAGAAAGCCAATGAAAACATACAAACCCCAGGTATGGAAGGAAAGGGTGACACAAGTTCTCATTTTCTCCATAGAAATAATTTCTTATTTTGTCATCATGTGAATAAATACAAAACTAAGTGTCAGATGAAAGCTGACAACGAATGTGCAACACCTTTTATTCAAGAACTCAATGTAAAGTGGATTTCTTTTATGACTAAATTTATTTTTTTGTCTCTAAATTTATTTTAGAGAAATTCAATTCAATTTAATTGATTTAATACATTTGTTTAAACGTATTTCTTTTCTGACTTTAAATACAATAAACCATTTTACGCAGTATCTTGGACAGAAATATTTTTATGCATTTCAACAACAAAACATTCAGTTATCAACTATAAGTAGGTCACAAACAACAGAATATTATGTATTGCTTACTGCTGCCCAGCTACTCATTTTTTTAACTAATAATACTACATAACGAAGCATTTCTGCGTTGCCATTAGACTTCTAGTTCTACTGATTCTTTAGGCTTAAAGGAAATTTAAAGTAGAAGTATAATTTTCTTCTCTGGAGTGGTAAAAAAAAGCCCAGTCGCTCCACATGATCACATGACAACAGTTGTAGAATCTAGTACACAATTTGTACAGAATATGTACAAATATGTACACAATATGTATACAATTTATCTTCAGTTTAGTTTATTAATGCTTTGTTTGTATTTATTTACAAACGTCTGTAACATAATTTGTAAAATAAACATTTATTTATATTTCATTGTGTCTGGATGCGATGAAACTGAGGTCATGAGGGCTCACATTTTGTCATTCTGTCAACCATAATTGATGTTCCACTTGTCACATACCTTTTCAAGATGAAGGATACTTTCTCCCACCTTACTGTCCTCCAGTGTTTCAGTGTGTTTCTCCTCATCTACTTTGTCTGTATTAGCAAACACAGAAGCAACACGGACCACAGGCAGAGGCACATCTCGTGGGACAAACCTTACAGAGCTTACAGGCATAGTCCACAGTTTAATCTTTTTAAAAGATTTTGTCTTTGCAGAGTAACGTGACTCGCAGACATAGACATCCTCATCTCTGAAGTTTTCAGGACACAATTTAAAATATTCCTGCAAAATGAAGAAAAAATGTTAAATATTTCAGCAACACACATGCACATCACACAGACACACAGTGAACTCCCTCTCATGCTTCCTGTTTTTTGAATATGTTTCTCTCAGAAACAGCTCTAGACTAATAAAGCCTTTCTGCAGTTATTTTCTTCCAATTTCACATCCAAGTTGTATTAAAAATTAAAAGCAAACAACAACAAATCCCACACTTAGAGTAAATTCAGTACAGATTACCACATGAGAAAAATAAGGGTTTGTTTGTTTACTAAAACAGACCATGAAAAGCACCAATTTGCAGCCTAAAGCCACCTTTACAAGATCTGACCTTTGATTTGGAAAGAGGACCGACCACAAATATTTTGGGCAGCTGTAGCATTTTGTTCCACACAAACACACTTCTTTCAAAAAAACTGGCTGAGACAATGCTGTCAATAAGCCAAAAGACCTCAGAACAAGGACGATGTGGAATCAAACTTGAGTCAGAAACAAAAGACTTCACCCTCTCACCAAGCCAATCAAGTGTCCTTCTGTATTAAACCTAAATTCACATGCTTTTATGGGAACCTTTAAGAAGTTATCTGCAATTTCTCTGCTACATGCTTTGAAAAAACATTTAGCTCATTATCTAATAAGCATGATTCTACAAATCAACCAGCATTGGGAAACAAAGAATACAAACAGTACACAGAAGCAAGTCATATTTTATTTAAGGATTAGTAGAATGTCTTTTAGAATGCCTACAGCTCTTCAAGAAAATAGCAGAGAACATATTTGCTCAACAAATTAGTCTAAATAGTCTCTCACCTTGACAAACATGACCACACATTTGCCTAAAATTTTGTTAACAGGAACTTTATTGTAATAGTCACTTTTAAAAACTTCTTTCTCCAAGAATTTTCGTGTTGCAAGATGAAATGTTTCATTTGGTCGATAAAACCAACAGCCATAGAGCCATTTCTCTCCTTTGAAGATAAAAAACCCAACAAACAAAAAAGAGAATGGAGAAAGAAAGATAAAAAGTGTAAAATGGCATATTTTTCACTGCATGAACAAGAAGAAACAACTATAGACTGATTAATCAAATAGCCACATAGTCATTTATACTGAGAGTAAAGTGAAAACATGATTCTTTAAGTGTTTCAGGTAAGGAAAACTAAGTTGCTTAAAAAGCCTGACAATTGTTTTTTCTGCAATAAAACCTGACTCAACAAAATAAAACAGCAATCAGTTCTTATTTATATATCTTGACTTTCAGGCCTTGAAATGGCTTCAAAGTCTACAAAACAATCACCTGATTATTTGGAGCATCTTGGGCAACTGATTATATGTTTTTAAAGCATGTGACAAATTCTAACTGTTAACAATGATTTACAAAGAAGTTACAAATATGTACTATGTTTCTGAATAAAGAAAATATGTATCTGGTAGTCTGAACCAGAATAAAAAGTGTCATTCCCTTTCTCTGTCACAGACAAACCAACACAAGAAATATCCAACTGGCCCATGGTCCATCTGCCCAAATACATTGCATCCAACTGAGTGAGTAGGACAGGCTATCAGGGAAACACATTTGATCTTGGCCACTCTGTAACTCATTCCACTCCTCCTACAGTCATTGCATTAGGAGTGCTAAAAGAACTATTCTCTTAACCTGCCTATTATTTGCTGGTTATTCTCTACATTACTTGGTTTAGATTTGGGGCACATGGACTTCTCTCAGTGATTTTTGAAGCTGTTGACATAATCTGCCTCCACAAGCTTCTGGGGAAGCCAGGAGGCTCAATACCCATGGCACTAAAAAGCCAAACACTTTCACTTGCTTTAATCCTATTTATTAGTGTTAGTGAGTGCCCTCTCTAGTACTCTAGCACTGCTGGATTTGTTGAACAGCATTTCTGTATTCACCTTATCTATCAACTTAGTGATTCTGTAAACCTTAATTACAACCTGCCTTACATTTCTCCTCTCCAAATTTACGAGTCATGGTCTTTTTAATCTGTCCTTTTAGCCCACTCATCCCATGATTTTAAAAAACAATTAAAATCACCGTATTGTTTTCCTATAGCAAAGACATCCTTACCAGCTGAATCTTCCCACAGCCTCTCAATACAGACTATGTGAGGTTGCAAGTTGGCTTCAGCAGGCTCCACATACACATAATCTCCTACATGGTACATGCTGTTCTTGAAGCTGCAATCCTGGCTGTAGGTCCGATGCAAGCTTGACAGCCCAGATGATCCAGATGAATCTTCACTCTTTTCAGCTTCTTATTTCAGGAAGGGAAAAATAAATGTTAGTAATGCCACATTTCCCTGTTAGCCAAGATTGCTAACAAGAATGTCCTCAGCCTCTGTGGAGTGCAGAAGTGCCATACAACACCTGATGTGTCCCCCTGTCACTAACCCAGCATGAAGGGTTTAAGTGTGTTTTATTGAGTCCTCCCAGTGAGTGAACAGGAACTCAATCATAGCACAGAGCTCAGAAGCCTTCAGAAAGGCATGCTTTGCTCTCTTTGGTGTTTTTAGCTCTCAAAGGAAGACAGAAAAACAGCACCACAGCTGTTGCCCCTTTATAATACTAAGCCTGGTTGAAACAACCAGGCTTTACTGCTCCTGACATTAGTGTTATATGGGAAGATAAACCATGTTACAAACATAATTCAAGGACAAAGAGCTCTGCTCCCATCTGTAGAAAGAAGCAATTAGAAAGCTTTATTCATTCCCTAGACATACTCCACAATAATTATATGGACAGCAGCAGCCATGTACTGTGAAACACAGAGAACCTTCACAGTAGGTCTCTTGCTTTACAAAACAGTGGAAGCCCATTCCTCTTCACACTCAACAGTAAGAAAGGAAGGTGAAAGGCTCACTTAAAGACCATTTCTTTAGCAGTGTTAAAAGCATGATCACAGACAACACCACCAGTGCATCAAAAAAACAGTATCAAAAAGGAAACAACTAAAAGGTTGACATGAGATGTCAGCACTAAGTTTATTATTTTTTATAGATATGTATCTCAGAAAGCTGTAATAAAAACCCTATTGTTTTCTTTTATAATAACCTCTAAGTAAGACTACTGGTTCTGCAGTGTGTCCTAATAAAAGTGTTTATATAAGGTTAGTATCTACCTACATCTCTTTCTTAAAGCCATCTGCTGTAGCTGATAAGCATCAAAATAAAACAAATACTTCATAACTTTAAAATACAAGACCCTTGTTGGACATTCAGATTATTAATGTCTTTTGAGTAGGAGAAGCTGCAGCAACAACAGAGCATACATCGTATGCATAGGTATATTTCTCAATTAATACACTTAGAATTAATGAAAAGAAAGTAGCTACCTCTCTTCTCCTCCTCTCTTTTGAGCTTATCCTCTTCTATTTCTTTGGGCAGCTTTTCCTTCTTTTCCTTTTCTACATCATTGTGAAGATGCTTGGTGGTATAGCTGAGAGCAGGTGACAGAAGAATCTCTCCGTTCTTACAAAGTTCATCTCGAATTTTAATAAAGAACTGCTGAAGTTCCACTGCATCCTCGTAAATCTCTGAATCAGTCCTGTGCAAAAATACATACAATGGGGCAGAAACACAGTTTGTGCACAGTCAAAAAGGATCCTGAACACACCCTCATCAATTGCCACACTTGTGATCAAACTGAACTTTCACTCTACCAATAGATTTCTGTGCTTACTCGTAACAAGCAGCAGCAGCCACTGGCAAGTTGTTTTTTATATACATCAGTCCTGAAATACCAGAAAAATCAAATGTAACTAGTTGCAACTAAAATCACTCGTCCCTGGACCTCTACAATCTTTTAACTTATGAAGACTTAAGTTTTAATATCATGTTTTACCTCCTCTCCTTCAGAGTCAAGATCTCACCTGTACATCCCCAAGTACTCTACCTAATTTTAGTAAAACACTGAAGAAGCGGTGAGTGTTCAGTTTTGCACAATATTTCCATAACTCATGCAACTGTCACTGCTCAAAAGACTAATCCACTAGTCAAGCAGTCAGCAAACAGCTCCTGCTCTTTGGTTTTTCAATCTGAAAGTCAGCATAAACCTGGTTTTCACGAGGTGTGCCTTTGAAGATTAACATCAAAATCACCTCAAGACGGAAACCTTAACATCAAAATTATCTCATGAAAGAAACTTTACTTTTTCCATGTTTCTAAATATTTCTAAATATTTCATTGAGGACCTGGTAGAGCTTTTAGATTTAGTTTTTTGAACACTCTTATCAAGTAAACACCTCAAAAAATCTTCAGCCTTCGCCTAATGTTAACATGCAAAACACATGTAAGAAGACAATGTATACCTGAAAAATAAGGCTTCACTCACCTGTTCATTCTCCTTGCCCTCTCCAGCACCTCAAACATATTCTCCTGGAACAAGTCCAGTCTTCTATAGCGATTATTTTCAACATTTTTTCGGATAATATCAAAAGTCAGAGGAGGTTTATTTGGGAAGCTGGGATCAATAGCAGGAATCTCTGCTAAAGAGTCACTGTAACATCTGCCCTCATCATCCTGGTGACTCATAACAGATACAAAAAGGTTATGGATAAGTTCCTGAATTAGCAAAGTGACATTGGGCACATGAGAATCCTCATCTCCTTCTATTTCTCTCCGAGTTTCAAGCAAAACTTTATGCAGGACCAGAGCATCTTTATAAATTAAAGATTCTGGCTCGTTATATGTACAAGCATTATTGAACATCATTACAAAATCCTCTACCATGGAATCAATATCCTGGTATTTATTTGCCATCATATGACTTCTGATCTTTTCCATGTCAACGGGCTTTTTAATGGTCACATAGTAGTCAGGAAGCTCGGAGCGAGACGGCAGCCTCAGGAAGATGGCGCTCAGGCGCCTGCCTCGCTTATCCGTGTAATTCTTCACTGCTTCATACACCTCGTTCAGCTTCTGTTGCATTGGAGTCATGTACTTTGATTTTTTAGGAGAAATGCCACTTTTTCTACCTAAGCAGACAAAGGAAAAAATAAAAAAAAGGTAATTGCAAAAGCAGAGCTTGCACACTTCATCCATCTCCTTTCCATTGGAGAATTGCTTACTGAAGAGCGACTTTATGGTATAATCAGAAGACTCACAACATGGAGCCCATTCCAAGCTGCACTTTGATTCTTTTTCATAAATGTATGAAGATATTTTTTTACAGTATAATTTCTGGCAAACACAGAATCATGTATGTTCCTATATGGTCCACCATTGCCCGGTTTGAGCCAGGATGAAGCCAATTTTCCTCTTCAGACTTAAACATGGAAAACATCTTTTCCTATTTAATGTTATTAATAAATCTTCCAAATTCAATCTGGTCTTACTAGCTCTACATGGATTTCTCTCTTCAGTTGTTAAAATTCGAGCCATGATGGGGTTTTGCTATTACACATTATAAATATTATCACATTCCTTTGTGACAGGTCTATAACAAATCAGAGGGGATTATTACAGGTAAAATGCAAAATAAGGCCTCCCGTGGCATTTTCAATCAGATTAGCTTTTTGGTTAATTCAGAATTTCAGTTACTGTAATACAGAGTCTCTGTGCATTCTCTACTGCCTGTACCTCACCTAAAGGCCCCACATTTCTATTTTCAAGAAGGCTGTATGCAGTTATTTTCTCTAAGCCTTGCTGTGCAATTTTATCCATCTCAGTTTGCTAAATTCTGAACACCTATTAAAAGGCCATAAATCTGAGTGGTAGCAAATTTAGTTTGTAAAGGCAACAGCTCTAGGAACAGACATTGTTGGAAATTTCACTTCTATGTTTTTCATGGCTTTCAATAATTTTCCAAATAAAGCTCACATTTCTTGTATCATTCTGTGGAAACCCCAGACATTTGACCAGGGAAATTAAAAGCTTTTCTCAGTTTCAGAAAGACCTTACTTGTCAGTGCACATTAGATGTGTTAATTGTTACTGAGCACAAAATACAGCACCTAACATTTGGATAACATAACTCAACACCAGTCATTCCAAACATTCCTAAGTTTTCTTTCTGCATTCTAAGTTCAATGCTATATGCAATAACTAAATTTTATTACACGTACATTCCAACACATAATTTATGCCAAGATTTTGAAAATATAATTCTAGTTTACGTGTCAGTGTAAATTTGCAGATGATGTCTTCTACAGGGAAGATCTGTTCATCTGTACTGTTGGGTTTTCATACGTGTTGAAAGGAGGCAGAGCAATGTATGAGGTTGCCTTACTTAGCTTTAGTTTAGGGGATGCAACATCATCATCTTCAGCTAGGGGTCCCAGTTCTTTCCTTTTTTCTTTAAGGATCTTTTCCAGCATATGGGCATCATTGTATACCTATTAATCAGTAAAGTAATCAAAAAACAAACCAAGGTTTACTGTGTTTTGACTAGTTTAGAACTAGCCCCCATGAAACATTTAAATGTTAGTCTGATAAAGCTGAATGCAAAATCAAATACTAGATTAAAGGAAGGGCTTATTTCTCAAATGTACACATTCAATAGACTTATACAGGTAAGCAGAACTGGATGCACACCATCTAAATCAGGGAGATACAAATCTTGAATAAATTATCCAAGTAAGCTGCATTTCTATTTTTAAGACCAAAAAATGGCAAGGGCAGTTGTTTTATTCAATTTCATCATAAAATAATTTTGCTGAGCAATGAAAGACCTCTTGAACTACTGTGATTCCATCAAGGTACACACGACTAGAACAGTCCTCCTCAGTCTTCAAATTCAACCTTGGTGAATGCAACCTCATCATAAAGTCCTGCACAGTAACTGATCAAGTTCCTCATCAGAAAGAGCTGGAGGTTTCTTACAACCACTGTATTCCACAACATCATGCTTGCTGGCTGAGAAACATCACAATATAGAAACATCCAACAATATATTTGTAAGTGAAAATTATATTCCCTTCAGACTCAACTTGCTAGCCTAAACAAGTGAGGTATTCTAGTCGTATCTCCCACATTCTCCACTTCCATGAAAACAAAGCTGGTTTCTTTCCAACTAAGACATCCCTTTCTCAGAGGTTCTCAGCTCCCAATCACACACTGATGACTGTTCAACTGTGCAAATACCTTCACATGATTAACTGAGGATGAGTAATGAGAATTTAGTAACCAGCTTATTTTCTTAAAATATTCTAGGAAACATTCAGCTGACATTGTTTGTAGTGGAGGAACAAGTTTAGCTAACAGGAAATTAGTCTACCCTTTGCAAAGGAGTGTGTTGCATTTCACGTTTATTCAACTATAGATCAAGAGTATTTAAAATACCATCAGAAAGAAAAAAACACATTTCTATTTTAGTTCAAGAAACCACTATCATAAATAATGTGAGTAACAGTCAAAGCTAAACCATCCTAACATAACTGATATGTCTGCAAAGAAGCAGAGGTAAGTGTGACTGTAGAATCAAAACAGTACCTGGGACCCTTCCTCATTATAGTGCCTTGCATTTCGGAACATGAGCTTCATGTCTTCAATCATGCCTTCCTCCCCTGCGTACTTATCATTGCGGATGTTATGTTCTATCATTTTCAGGTCCATTGGCTCCAAGATAATTTTATAGTAGTCTGGATAGTCCTTTTTGGATGGCTTAACCATAAACAGATCACAAAGCCGTCTGCCTGTGCCCGGTTCTCGAGCTTCCAGCACCGCATTGTACAAGATCTTCATTCTTTGCTTTCGTATGTTCTTTTTACTGTTAGGTTAAGGAGAACAAAAAAGAAAATAATAAATGTTAGGGACTTTTTTCCCCACTTCCAACACTTATGTCAAAATGGCATTATCCTCTACCATGAGAAAGCAACCACAGATACCTAAACACATGCACAAGAAGTTCCACACTAAGACAGCATACTAGAAACACAGGTCCATGTGCTAGCAATGACAGCATTATAACCAACAGTCTGCTAAATAAACAGAAAACCAACTTTAAGATGTGATTTTTCTCTCTTTCACCTTGAGTGTAAATGACTTACAGAATAAAACAAATAGTTTTCAAAAGTACCAAGGTCAAAAGGAGCTCCAGGTTCAGACGCAGAGAAATCTGATTAGTTAGGACCAGACATCTGAATCTGAGGCCTCAAGATCTAGTGTGGACAAGTCAAAAACCCTCAGCTAGTATCTCCATAACTACCTCTGCTGAATCACAGAATCACCAAGGCTGGAAAAGACCTTTAAGATCATAAAGTCCAGCCTATGACCAAAACCACCACATCTGCTAGACCATGGCACTAAGTGCCACATCCAGCCTTTCCTTGAACACATCCAGAGACAGTGCCTCCAGCACTTCCCTGGGAAGTCCATTCCAGTGTCTAATCACTCTCTCTAGGAAGAGGTACTTCGTAATATCCAATATAAACCTCCCCTGAAACAGCTTGTCTTGTTGCCAGTTGTCTGGAAAAAAGAGTCCAGTCCCCACCTGACTACAGCCTCCCTTCAAGTAGTTGAAGAGAGTGATAAGGACCCCCCTGAGTCTCCTCTTCTCCAGGTTAAATACAGAATATCAAATACAGACTATCAAAGACTTGAGCTATTTACCTCAGAGTACTTCTTCAGTACCAGATACAAGAAAAATAAATTACACCAAGCATGTCGTAGAAAGAAGGCTCTGAATTGCTTAAGTTGTCAGTCAACCAAATGAAGTTACACGTCTGTAAGGCTCATCAAAGCTACAAACCCAAGAACAAAATGGCCACATGCAAACTACCACCACAAATTTTAGTCATCCTATGTGTAGCTATTATGTTTGTCTCAAGAAATATGACAGCACAACCAAGACACAGCTTATGAGAGACATAGCTATGCATGGCTCTCAAATACTGCATGATCTATCAGCAGATCACACTGGCAGATGAGGAGTGCCGGAACAGTTTAACATGTTTCCAGTTTTGAACATTTTGTTTAATTGAAGTATGTAAACTAGAACCAAAGCAGAAATAGTTTGCCAATACTCAAGATTCAGATCATGCATCTGATACATAAAAGGGGACATTCGAAAAGCTTTCTTCTGTGTAACTATTATTTTCCCAAAGGGTTGAATTTTGCCTGGATTCCTAGTTTCCTTTTCCAGCAACAGTTTGGAATTCCTCTCACTGCTTCACTTCAGCTACCAGCAGCACTTACAATCTTCTTTTACTTCCTATCCTTCAGCAAGTGAAACTGGTTAACAAGTACTGAACTGACAACTTCAAAAGCATTTTTAGGTTCTCTTCAGGCATGAAAAAAAATAAAAATTTCCTTACCTAAAACCACAACTTTTTCTCTTTTATTGTTCCTGGAGGACAAAGCCTGACAAATTATTTCTTTGAATCACTTTCATATTCTCTTGCACCAGGTGATCAAAAGCATCACAGGATTAAAAGGATTTTGATTGCAGTCTGACTTGTGTGATTAGGTTAGCAGTTCTTTTTCAATCTGAAGATTACAAATCCAGCAATTTTTGCAATTTGTTCCTTCCTGATTTTCACTTGGTACCATGGACTGTTTCACCCTTTCACTACTTGTCTTCTACTTAGCAAACCTAGACTGTACCACCTCCTTAATCCATGTTAACATTTTCTGTCTGCAGATTTTTTTACGAGCCTACACTGTTGCACTTCCTTGATTGCTCTTAAGTGAATCATTGCTGATGCTCTACTTCATCCCTTCCTCCCCCACCACTGCTGTCACTTTGAGGGAACAAAGAACCAAAAACACAGGAAGCTGAAGGTCATAAGCAACACCAAAGAAAGATGATGAACTACAGTTTTACACTGGAAGCTGCTATTATTGCCATACTTCACTAATATTAATTACATAAGAACTATCACTGTTAAATACTACTTTTCATAAAGCATCATTATTGCTCACTAAAAGAGTGTATTTTATATCACTGAGAATCTTTTTTATGTTACAGTAAGCAGAATAATCAGCCCATATATATTTACCCAGTTTATCTATTTGTCAAATACCCTCTTTGGCACAGCCACTGACAGCTAAGAAAACAAAGAGTGCAAATTCAGAAAGGAGAGAGAAGCAGCTCTCTAACAGTAATGAAAACTCCTCAAGCAGAACTCAGGTTGCGGAAAATTAAAATACTTATGCCAGGGCACTTCACCAAATAGAAATATTTGTAGAGTAATACTATAAACATTAAAAAAAAATTTCAACCATAGTGTTATTTTTTAATTATACTCCAAAACTGCTCCTCAAACTACATAGTCAAATACTGTAGAAGTATAACTGCCAAATGTAAGACAGTCCACACAACAGGCTAAAAAATAAACCAAACACAAAAAGCACGAATCCTCTGAGAAATGTACCTAATTCAGTGCAACACAGTGTCCATGACACTTAGTGAAGTTGACAACTGCCAACTAATAAGCCAAAAAAAGGAAAATAGAGTCAGCAATAGTTTTTCATTAATTAGAACCAACACAATGAGTTTAAGTTTCAGAACAAAAATCCTTTAAAAAAGTTAGAAACCATAGCTTAATATTCTCTTTAACAAATAGAAGAAGGACCAATGTCATGGTCTGCAGGAACACCAGAAGTGCATTTGTACCTTTTCCTTTTTGAGCTTCCAGTATCAGATGTAGCAGAAGAAATCATACTGTCCCCATCCTCAATGTCATCTCTCCTAGCAAGCTCCTTTTTCTTTGCCTGAAAAAAAGAACAAATTCCTGAACCAAACTCACTGATGGACATTTCCAGAATAATATTAAACATCAAAACAGATCAGATGCACAAAGAAAGATGAAACTACTGGTTTTGAGACTAAAACACCATAAAAATATTTCCAGTGATTTATTTAATACAAGTTGGCCAACATAATCCAGTAGAATAATACTTTTTAACTGTCAGAAAAAACGTTGAGGAAGCAATTTGAAAACAATGCTCTTTCAGACTGTAGCACTTAGCTGGAACACTTCACAAAGTGTGAAGTGTTTTAGCATCCTCCAATTACCTGCAAACCCTAAAAAAGCCACATATAATCAATCTTCTCACAACTTAACTTGGTTTAGCCATAGTAAGGTATAAAAGAAATCACAGAAGGCAACAGATGTGCTGAAGAAAAATCACCCTGTGACACACTTAATTTCTGTATTTCCCCCTAAGCAAGAAAATACTACTGCAAATACAGGCTTAGTTAAAAATTATTTTGGAAAAATATTCATTAGAAAAATAAATTAATGTGTGAAGTTACATCCTTTTGATTGTTCTACTCCACATACCTGCATAACCTGCTGCATTTTCAGTACTCTCTTATAGATGGCAGAATTTGGAACGTTGTAGCGCTTGGCATTTTCAAACATCAAGTTCAGATCAGCCTCCAACTGATCTAACGTTTCATACTCATGGTTCTTCAGTTTGGTTCTGCAAAACAGTGGAATATCTGATTGTTTTTTCTCAAGTTACACGTTGCAGAACAGTTCTTTAGCATCTTCATTTCCATGATAAATCAATAGCCAAAGAACTCAAATTACAGGAAAGTGGGGTTTTTTTCAGATGCTGTAGCAGCATCTTTCAATTGTAGCTATATTAGGCAAACATGTCTCCTCTTAAAGAATGATTTTACTAATTCTGAAAGGTACCCTCTTGAAAGCTGTACAGCCTGAAGTCCTGTGTTTATACTCAGATGAGACTGGACAGCAGGAAGAATAAAAACTGGAAAAGTTCCTAGTTGTCCAATTAATTAAACTGGAATTACAGAATTGTAACTCCACATTATGACTGCTGTTGCACAAGGTCTGGACTCAGCTTTCTGAAAGAGAAACCCAGAACTACATTCTAATTGAATTATCACTTCTTTAATTCAAAATGCTTCCCTGCTATTGCTTGGCACTACTCCTCTTTATTTGGAGTTGTTCTGTACCCAACTTGAAGCTGATCAGAAAGAATCAATTAAGCTCTAGGATTACACTGACGAAAAAACAGCACCAACAACCATCCTCCTGAGATATTAAAACCAATACACAATTAATATTCTTAGCACACGTGAGTTCAGAATCTATGAAGTAACCCTGTCAGTGTGATACTATAAATCAGATTTATTTATTAGTAACTTATCCTGATCCTGTCAAATCAAATTCTGCATGTTTAGGTGCCAGTTTCATCAAACTGAGGAAAGGAGGAATTTGCCATATCCTTTGAAGCAGAACAAATTCAAAGCAAGCTGCAGGCAGAACAAGCAAAGCAGCAGTGTTGCCTAGGGAATTTATCCTGCCTGCAACAATTTTCCTTTTACAGAAAGAGAATTCTAAACGGCTCCTGCACAATTTCATTACATGGTAAAAGAAACTAGAGACTCTTCACATCAGCAGATCCCAAGCCACTTAACTCTCCCCTCAGAGACAGAGAGGCAACTCATGCAGACCCCAGCACACCACTGTCACATTCTACATCTAAGAATACATCAAATGGCCTCAGTACCCCTACCTAGCATCACCCACATGTATTTAGCCTGTGACCTCTGCACATTAGAATGCAGCAGTCTGTCCATGAAGCACCAAAAAGCAGAAAAAAAACATAGAAAGTTTCAATTAATCTTAAATATATCCTTCTACATGCACATGTTCTCTACTCTGTCATGGCCCTGTAGAAACAAAATCTTTTAAGCTGATGGAAGTGGTGAGGACCCCAGTGGTTCACAAGTTAAAAGCAGTTTAGTTAAACCTTCCTCCTTTAAAACTGTATGTAGAGACAGAAGACAAGAGGAAGAGTAAACATTGTTTTTAAAAGGAAGGATGAGCTATCATCCATACTATCTGAGCAGGAAATAAAAACTTGCTCCTCTCAGCATTTATTTATCCACAACCAAATAATCAAGGTGCGGGACATCTGATCTTAAGCAAACAACTTTCATTCAGAGTTGCATTCATGAAAGACCTGACAACAAAAGTCCATATGGTTTGTAAAGAGACAATTTCAGCCATACACATGAAGAATGAAAAATGCACAGGCACAAAAGTCATCCTGTTCTGCTCTGCAAATAACCTCTTACCTTACCATCCTCTTCAAAGCACTTGCTGACAGCAAACAATAGGATGATTAATTAAGGCTATTCACAAAAGTACTTTGAACAGATTTAATTATCATAAAATGCAGAAAACTCAAGTATTGTGCATTTTCTGGATTGGAGTATGAAATACAGTTTCACAATACATTTTTAGAAAGTCATGTCACCCATCTTGGAATAGTTTTATAAACATCAGTTCATTTTGCAAAGCAGGACTAGAACTAACCAAAGCCATGGCTCTACAGAAGATCACTGCCAACATAACAAAAAACAAATTTGTACACTAGAGACCAAGAGAAATTTCTGTGAAATTATTGACAGTGATACAATTGTACCCAAAAGTATAAGTAAAACAATATGACCTTTGCAAAATGAGGAATAGTTTAAAAGGTAGGCTACAAATTCTTAAGGCTACTAAGACCAAAACAACACTGACATGACATTTAATTTGATCTAAATCAGAACAGCAGTTAATAAAGCACACTGTACACTGGCACACAAGTCCCTTGAACTCATCAGCCCTTACAGGTGGAATATCTGAAAGAACTGAAAGTGAGACAGAAATTCTCTCCATATAAGCAAAAGATCCTTCTTATTAGATTCACACTATGCCTAAAAAAATCCTAGAAAAAAAATTGCAATATGTACTGGAACTACTTGCTAATGTAGGAACATTGGTGATATAGAAAGAAGATTTTAAAATTTACAACATTCAGCAAATATTAAATTAAGTGAAAAAAAGCAATAAAAGAACTGCTAAATCTCAGATGAAGTGAAAATTCACAAGGTAATCTAAATATTACAGAGGCATAATTTTCTCCATAGAGAATAGTTTCCTAATTGGCTCATTCATAAATTAAGCAAACTGATTTATTATTTTGCCAAAGTCAATGTAACAATAAAATCTAATGTATATTATTTTTTAATAAAGAAATTAATTTATAATAGGCTTAAACCCTGTTACTAAAAAATTATAACTAGTTCTCTATAAACCATTTAGGCTTTAACCCAGACAAGATTCTCCATTACCTGAAGGTAAGTTCCACACCATTACTTGCCATATTATTGGAAGTGTTTAATAAGGCAAAATATGCTTGACCAGATGATGGCATTTACCTAAAGATCAACTCAAATAATTAATAACTAATCCAACGCCAACAAGAGCTGCCACAAATCTCATCCTCTCTGCAGAGGGTGAACACATCGCAGGGCAGTGAAACATAACATTTAGATTCCTGTGCCACAGACCATTGCCCAGAAAGAATGAACATTCATAAGAAACATGCATTTCAAATCTTCAAATTTGAAACATCAAACAAAGCCAACCATGTTTTAAACAGGACCCATGCACTTCTTTAAACCTCAATTATAACTCCAGTCTCCCAGAGTGCAAGACACTGAGGTTTGCCAAGGAAGAGACAGATTCCAGTGCCTGTGCACCCACATAGCTCTCCATGTCTTTTAGGACAGATCTGCTGCCAGGGAATTCCCTGGACTGCTTCCCTCCTCTGGTGTAGAAAAGCCTCACCCACTTGCCTCAGGGATCATACTAAAGCTGTAAAATTTAATAAGGAACACAGTTCTTGTGAGCAGGCCAGGATCTGGCATGTACATACGAAGCAGGTAACTGAACATTCTCCTGCTTTGTTTCCTCACTCTTCCTCCAGTCATTCGTAACTACAGACCTTTTTACCAACAATGTTCAGCTTGCAAAACAACCTCCACACCTGAAAGCCACAACTTTCACAGTGTCATGCCTTTCTCTTTAAATAGGATACTGTGGGAAACTGTTTAGGTTTTTTAGGTATAGTAAGAAATGAAGATTATGCGGTAATTCCAAAACCAGTAGAATTTCAGAATTTGCTAAAAGAACCTGGACTATTATACATACTGTGCTTTAACTTGTGAGCTACAAACACTCTACTTCTAACAAGACTGTCTGTATCTTTTTCTTTTCTAAGGTCTCAGGCAGTAAAGTCTTTTTTCTACAGTTCTTCATACATTTGCATGCAATTTCTGTACTGCCCAGCGCCTGCCTCTCTATGGCACATCATTTGTCTTATAACTGATATACAGTGTATTTTTAATGCAAGGTCTCTCTCAATTAAATCTGTTTATACAAGCTGATACTCTTTTACATTCAGACAAAAAGCTCCCTGACAACTGTAAATTACTTTCCTCAACTTTATCTTTTTTTTTCCCATCAAGTACATTTTGTCCTTCATTCAAGAGAGGACACTTTCTTTGTCAAGCCAACAGCTGTACTAAGAAACAAGAAAAAACGCTTTAAAGACACTGATAATCAGATAACCAGAATGGCAGCTCCATACTGTCCCACAGCAGATGCAGAATACCCTCTGACAGGTTAAAAAGTAAAATAAAATTAAAAAAAAAATAAAAAAAATGCTGCCTTGTTACTTGATTACTTTTTCATTTAACAAAGACACTGCTTATTTAACAATTGTACCATGTCTAGCAGATCATATTGTGGCTGGTCTTCTGAGAGGTGTCCCTGCTCATAGCAAGGAGGTTTGAACCTGATGATCTTTAAGCTCCCTCCCAACCTTAACCATTCTATGATTCTATGATTACAAATTAAACTCCATGCAAAATAAACCCAACAGCAGCTATCAATAAAAGGTGATCAAAAGACTGATGCAGACTGAGTTGAAACAAGAAGCAGCCAAATGCAGAGGAAAGATGGCATACACTGCAGTAGGTAACAACAACCTGACCACAAGACAGGATTCTGTAAATAAAAGAAACCCTTGAATAGTTTCCCAACAGATTAGTTTGCATTGTGTTCTTACCTGATCTGCTGCAATGAAATAGGTGCTTTAATTTGCTGATAATAATCAGGATACTTTTTCTTGGAGGGCAGGTGGAAAAAGGGTTCAGATATGAGCTGGCCCTGATTATTTCGGCAACTTCTAACTGTGTCATAAAGCTGATAAAGAGGATTAGACGTGTCTATGAATGAGGTAATGCTCTCAGCTTCAGATTCTCCCTCTTCATAACGAGCAGCAGCTGCACAGAGAAACAGGAAAAATGGGAAACTCAGCAGGACAACTGAGAGCGGGGTTTTTGGTTGACTTTTCAAATGGATAAAGATCTAAACTGGAACAAAAGGCAGTTCTTCAAATGAGAGTGTTCAGCCACTCTCTGGCAGTCAGATTCATACCTCAGAAAAAGACACCACAAATGCATCTCATGAGCCTCAAGCTGACAAAGAAGCACTTTTATCTAGGTATTGAACCTCTCTGATCAGATGAGACCAGTTCTGTCACTGGCAATACAGCCTTGCCACCTACAAGTGCTAAGAAGTGTTGATATGTGAGACTACGTAACAGCAATATTCTATCTATACAACAGCTACATCCTTGTTTACCCATCAAACCATTAGCACTAGTATTTGTGCCAAAAACATTTCAATACTGAAGTACTGCCTTTCTGCCATCTGACAGGAGCTCAATACAAGAATACAAATTGACAAACCATGTCTGGAATTTTCAAAGGTGCCAAGCCACTTAAGCAAAATGGCCAAATTAAAAACAAATGTTTGCATATGTATCAAAAAGGTGACTTCCAAACTTCTATAATCTGTTAGACCACATTAATCACAGATCAATTAAAGATTTGTGAAGGTTAGCAGAAAGTACCTGACACTAAAGCGTGAAGGTACACCCCTAATACATGCAAATTAAGGAGAAATTAATATTTCAGAATTGTTACATAATTGGCATAAACATTTCATAATAAAGTATCTACATTTCCTAGCAACCTTTTCTAATTATCTATATAAAGCACATATTATGTTTCAGGATTAGGACGAAAGAAAGAAATGCTACGAAGAACTAACATTTACTGCAGATAAAATTAGGCAAAACATTACATGAGCAACAGAAACACAACAGGAATGAAAAAGCTCTGGTAGTGGAAATATAGGATGGGAAGCAATAAATGGCCAATCCTTCCACACTTCTCAGCAACATAAGTGTAAATTTGTACCTTGCAGATGGGCATAAAAAAAAAAAATTGTATGTAGTTTCACACATCTTAGAGTTAAATTATTCACCCTTTTCCCCCTCTTACGAGTTAAGGTTTGAAGGAAAACTTGGCAGATGACACATTGGGTAATTCAGTTACACAAAAGACAGTTCTTTAACACTTATGCCAAGTTTCCAGCTGGCATGTTCACTATTGCTCAGTGGAGGCTGGCAATGTTCCAAGCTTTCAGTAAAGACATATTGAAGTGATGACAAAGTCAGAGGCACTCTGACTGCACAACAACACAGTGCTATCATTTTCCTCTGCAGCCTGACATTGCAGATCTAGGTGAGTGTATGGCATATGGGACCTAGAAGACAATCAGACGCAGGCTACAACACAAGTGGATGTCAGTAGATGTGCAAACACAAATAAAATGTTCGTAATTGATTCAGGAAAGACACAAAAAATTCTCCTAATTATGTATCTGTATGCTAATCAGCATCACTTAATGGCCTAGCAACAACTACAGAGTAGCCAGAAAAGCAGGAGCTGAAAAAGAATAACTCAAGTAGAAACAATAGATATATCAACCTGAACATGGAGATAAATGCTAGTAGCTAAAAGAATGCTATCAGGTAAGTCTCCAAAATAGATTAGGCAGCAAAATACTGTTTGTTTTTTTTTACTCAAACAGTTCAGTTTGGAGTGCTCCATCAAAAAGTAAGAAACAGAACATAAAATGAGAAGACCTTGTTTTACTGAGACAGAAAAACAAGAAACTACTCAAGTACATTGCTGTTCTCTGATATGTGGCAGCCAGCAATAAAGTAGTTCAATATCCTCAGTAAGAAATGTACTTCCTTTGTACTAGAAGTGGAACACAAGGCATTCCCTAAAATAAAAACCTAAGTAAGTTCAACAGGCACTAAAAGGAAAGTGGTTACATAATATTGTAATATGGCTGTACAAATTTTCACTATTTGTATGTTTTTTAAAAGCAAAGTGTCAAACATTACTCTTACATATTTAGAAAATCACAGTTGTTCTCCTAATATGAAAACTGTTGTCATAAGAACTGAAAAATATATTGTTCAGATCTGAGGAGAGAAAAATCTGTATTTTGCCACGGAACAAACAATCTAATGCAACACTGTAGATTTTTTTAACATGCAGTAGCACCAAGTCCCATAGCCCCACCGAGCACCAGCTGGCAGTGGACAGTAAGTCAGTTATTTCCCTTTCGTGCAGCTGTCACCACAACTGCAGTTGGCAGATACAGGAAAAACCCCCGTGGTGAACCATAACTACAAAATATTTGCCATTCAACAGTCCCAAACAGAATTTATTTCCTGCTGTTCATCCCATACCACAGTGACTGTTTCCTAATGAAGTGACAGCTTCATAATGCAGTGATACTAAATGGACTTCACTGCAAAAGGAGGAAGCCATTTAATTGACAACTGGAACTGAGTTTTATCATCACATATAAATGTGATAATAAATGCATGTATCATATGCATGTACTCTCACCTGATGGGGCAGAAAAAGAGCAGAGAGAGGAGAGTACTTGAATGTGTATAAAAGAAAATTAGTTTTTAATCAGTAAGTGATTTGCTTTAAACACCGTTTCTTTCTGGTCCTAAAGCACCTTGACAACAGTGAACACTCAGAGTCTAACTGAAGATAGGTTTCAAAATTAAGTAGTAATAAATAAAATAGCTTTCTTTACAAAATTAAATATTTATTTGTAAGTAACACATAATGACCACCTATGCCTGTCTTTACAGGTTTATAATGAGGAGCAAGGGAGCTGTAGAAGCTGCTCATGTCCTAGAACATTGGAGCTGGAAATCTTCTACAAGCTCCATCACATGATGACACCTTCTGAAACTGTGAGGATAAACTCCAAGTTGGAAACAGATACTGTTCATTGCTTAGGCGACTGCTCATATAGTTCTCTGTATTGAGAAGAAAGTTCTTTTAATATTCAGTCATGCAGCCTAGCTTTAATTTATTTTAATGAGTGTAAGAGGAAGGGAAAAATAGGAGATACTAAAGCAACTAATAAAAAGACCACTCGGTTTAAAGGAAAATCCTTTTCATCTGGAGACTGAAAGCACAGAGGTGTCCATATGGTATGTTGGGGGGACAGAAATTCTGAAGGTTGACAGAGGACTACCAAAAAAATTGACATTGTCTCTGAGGTGAATGCAATAAAGACAGAAAAGCTCCAACAGCAGCAAAGCAAAAATCTCAGATGCATACAAAAGGCCCCAAGTGATTTAACATCACTTTGAGAATTTGAATCACAATAAAGACATAATAAGCTATACAATTTTACAGAATTACAATTTGCAAAAACAGCAGCTAACAATCACACTGAATCAAGCTAGTAAATACTCCTCACACCTCCCAGAAGGCAGCTGCTCAGAAGCAATAACTGAATGCTGGGCTGACCAGGATTAAAAATGTTTTCGCTTGCAGCAAGATCCAAAACAATTTTAAAAAATTCTACAGCTTATTCATCCACTGAAAAACAATCCTGAATATAAGTCAGTTACCAGGTGTGAAAGAAATGTTTCAAAAACACACATTGAAGAGATGCAACATATCACATCAAGGCAGAAGTAGTGCAAACAAAAACCAAAATAACAGTATATGTACAAAAACATTTCAAAAAACTGCTCTGAGATAAATGCAAGGAAGTTGTAACTAACAAGACAGGCTAACTTAAAAGACAACTTCTAACATTTATACCAGTAACAAAGTACATAACATAATGCATATATTACAGCATATATGCTTACAGTACAATGCCCAACTTATCTTACCAGCTATACATTTACAAACTCAGAGGAAACAGGGAATGGATTAACAGAATTACACGCTGAGTTTGAAACACTGCAAATACTGAGTTTGAAATAAAGATATTAGAATGTATCATGAGCTCTACAATTTTGTTTCTTCCAAACATTTTAATTAAAGAAAATAAATACAGAAACTAAATCTCAGTTCCTACCAGCCAAAGCTGCATCCTCATCACTTTCTGATCCATATTGCAATGCCATGGTTATTGCTGATAAACGATCCCCTTGGGCTGATCTTTTGTTACTATAAAAGAGAAAAAAAAAAAGTTTAAAAAAAAGCAATTTTTTTTTTAAAAGGGAATTATCTTGTTAACCATTAACAGTCACCTAGAGTGAGTAAGTAAACAAGTGAAGCTCTTAACAGTTGCTTACATTATCAGGAATACACACATGACAGTGCAAGAAAAGTTAACAAGAGAAACTGTTAACAACCCACATGTCTGCCTCTATTTTAAGACATGGTCCTTCAAACTGAAAAACTGGACACACAACCAGAAATCTAGAGCTCAAGCTAGCCATGTTCTGTCCTGTTTTCAATACCTGGATATTTCAATTTTGGGGGGAGAAGGGGGTCAATTACAAGTCCTTCCCAATTAATAACTTTGTTATTTGATCATGTTTTATAGGGATTTGTCTACCTGAAGGAATTCAGCACACTATAAGCTTTATAAGCTACTTCCTCCCATATCCCATCTCCACATCAGGCATTCTGACCACACAGAGTCCCTATATGTGAAGCAACCTCCTCTGCTTTCTAGGTGGATTAAATCAGCATCCACACTGTGATCTCACTAAGAGACTTCTTCAGCAACCCTCTCTTCCTGCCTTTTGTCCCAAAGCTGGGGCACAGCATTTCATACCTACACCGCAGGCTAGGCCTGACAATCTTTGCTTTTTAACTAGGTCAGGTCATTAGGCACCTCCAGGAATGCACTCAGCCTTGCCCTGTGGGAGCAAAATGAAGACTGGGAAAAACCAGATGGGTTGTTGAAAATGACACCAACTCTGTATAAAACGCTCAATCTGCAGAAGATCCTTGCAGCTGCTGTCTTAATCCATGGCTGCAGAGTATACATGCTGGGAACTAGCCAGGAGTACTATTTTCAAACAGTAACCCAAAGACCGTAGACATATGACCTCTACTAGGTACCAAAATTCTCAACTGATGACTGAAAGAACAAACCAGAAAGTCTCCAGTAGTCCAGCCTTCTCAGTGAGTTTGGCATAAATGAATCCCAAATGCAATATTTCCTTTATACAGGCTCCACTGGTTTCCACCATCCATCTCCTAATTATTTAATCCTACTTAGTCTTTTTAGTCTCCAAATACCACCTTTCTAGGTTTACAACAGATTTTCATGGGTTTTTGCACCTGCTTTATCTTGTAACGAAGCTTAACATGTTGTTCTTCAGAACATTTCTAAGGAAATAATTGCATACAGAGTATTTCACGACAGGTGTTTTGAAATGTTAAATATAAAAATCAAACATGGAAGAGTAATTATGGCAAAGTAACTTATTAAATTATACTTAATAGATATTTGACTGAAATACATTTGAATCTCAAAAGTATTTGAGTCAATATTAAAGAGAACTCTCAACTAAAAAAAGAACAACAACAAAATCCAAACCAACCCAAATTTTAGTCTATCCATATGATGAGGACCCAGCTCTTCTTCCAAGTGCACACTTCACTTACCGATAGTATTTGTTAGAAGAATTTCTCTCATCACCAACACTGCCTTTACCCTGTGAGGAAGGACCTGTCAGCTTGGAAGCAGTCAAATTTGATGGAGTCCTTAAGGCAGAAGAGACAAGCCAAGGAAAGGGGAAAAAAAGAGGCCCACCTTAGACCCAAGAAGAGACGCAGTACGGATAAAGCTTTTTACAGAATCACTTTGATAGATCAGCCAAAAGGTTCAGAAACAGACATAAAATGTTTTAAAGCCAAAAGTAAAGTAATACTAAGATACATTTAGTGCCCCAGCATTAATATTGATTTTGTTTATAAAGTCAGAGGAAGGTAACATTTAGATTGAGGATTAATAGCTATACACACAGCTCAGCCTATCACAGCAGTGCAAGCACCCAGCAGAATGCTCCTTGGCATCCAGATAAAGCCGATCACACAGATCCAATCATGTCTCATCAATACTTAACCAAATCACTGTCCAGTGCATGTTGTCAAGCAATTTTATTTTGTCACTTTAGTTAAGGGAGGACAGTTAAATCCACAAAGAAAGAGGAATTTAGTATGGCAAAGGATACAATGAATTGTGCAATAGAAAAGCATGGGTTTTGACACAGAGGCAATTTGTCTGCAGACCTTAGGTTAGTAGTGTTATGATTAATTTGAGGCTGATCCATCAATGACAAAGAAAACTACATGAAAATTCAGAAGGAAAAGATAGTAAATTAATTTTAGGTGAACTTCTGGGGGTATTTTACCAAAATCAGCAATAGATAAAGGAGATCCCCCTTTGAGACAATTATGCAGTTAGGAATTTAAATAAGAAATAATGATTCTGTGATGCAGATTCAGCAGAAAGAAACAAAGAAAGTATAATGGTTCAACTAAAAAAGCAACCAGTGAAATGCAGAACAGTGAGAGACAGGTTTGGTTTTCATATTTCATTATATTATTGTAGCCTGCTTCAGGAATTGTAACTTTTTCATATTTTTTTCCAAGTTAGAGTAACAAAAAAGGAAGATGTCAAGTATGCTGACATTCAGATTACTTCAGGATTTGCAGGTCTATTGAGAACAAAATACATAAGAGAACATCTAGAAAAAGGTAACTGAGAAATGGAAACAGGTTGGCAGTGCAAGAGAGGAATTCAACTAACAAATACCAATGTGATTTATCTGTCATCCCTTCTTATGCAAAAAGTTTTATTTTGAAGAAAAACAGTTAAGCCTGAAAACTAAACACGACACACATGTGACATCCTGAGCTTCACCAATGGCCTACACAGTGAGAAAAATAAAATCACAATTTAAATAGAAAACCTCTATGCCAATATGTAATTCTAGTTACTGCAAAGGAGACACATATGTACATTCAGTGCCTATACAATCAGGGTCTTCTGGCACTACAGATACTTTTTGAGAAGGAAAATTATTAAACTGTGTCAGCATTTCTAGTTTGATGTTTTTATATGCTCCAATGATGATTCACCCAAACACGGGAAACGTGCTAACATTGAACAAATGAAAAACCACTATATAGGTTGAACATCTCAAAGCATCGAGTAGTAAAAACCAACCAAGTAACTTCCAGTTCTTTCACTTCTAACAATCCTAGGCAATACTTTTAATACTGACACCATCTACACATTTTTTAGACAATAAAACAAATCTAAACTGCCTTTCAGTAAAGTAAGGCAGTGCTAGTGGTTTCAGTTGTACCATGCAAACCTTGGCAGGAAACAAAAACAGTTCTTTTCCAGCATCAAACACCAGTAAACAGTTCCAATACATGAAAAAGTCCACCTTGTAAAGAGTTTGCTAACTCCCTGGATGACTTGCAAAACATTGCTGTATTTTCTTTTGCTAAATTTACTGGCTCATTCCAGTAAGTAATATCTAAATCTACTTCTGAGTGTCACTCATAAGCAAAGATTTTATAGAAGAAATCTAAATGCATTTCAGTTAAGAAACATCTAAAATTACTGCATCACTTCTCTGTACACTATGCATTTTCACAAGAGGAAAATGCTGTTTCTTAAATAAAATCATTCCATGAAACAAAGAGAGGCAGTTAACAGTGTTTTAAACCTGCCTGCTCAAGACCAAGCCTGCGCTTCACCGAGTAATAAGTCCAGATCTTCAGCATTCTGTGTCTCTTTTCACAGCTAGAAATTGGTTTTCAAACAAAAGTGTATATAAAGTAGACTTCCCCTAAGCATGTTTTGTCTGAGTTCTTGTCCTATGTTTCTGTTCCTGCCTAATTAACTGTGAGCTCTTACTTCTCAGCTCCTAACAAGGTTCAAGAATATCCAGCATTTTTCGTAAAGCGAAGCACAAGAAAGCATCTCGTTCCTCACTATTCTGTTTCTGTTACTAACTTATAAACTGTGTGGTGACAGTTGGCTATAGCTTAAGGTATAAAAGATCCACTGATGCTGTTTTTCATAATCGAGTACATCACAGAAATATTCCACTACAGAAATATTTCAATAAAAAGTTTCCTTCAAAATTACTTTTAAAACAACAATAAACTGAGTTTTCAAGCAATTATTTCCCACTATATTCTCCACAGCAAAATTAGGGAAATGTGTACACAGATTTTTATATGAGACTGTAAAAATAACTCTATTTGCAGTACCTGATTCGGAGACTTGACTTGGCCAACTCACTGTGTTCAATTTCAGCCTTTTTCATATTAAATATTTTTTTAATCGCATTTGCATCCTGTCAATTAAAAGAATTGTTTCATTTAATGTTGAAAGTGAAGAACGTTACAGTCAAGTATATCCATCTATCTAAAACTCTACAACAAAAATTAAGTGGTTTTTACCCTTAAATATAAAACAATTTTACATGAGAAATGAAGTATTGAATAGTCTGGCTGAAATACATGCACAGTGGGCTGTAATAGCTGAGCACAATGGCTGAGCAGCTTTGACTTCATTTTCTGTCATACCCTTTAAAAAAATAATAAAACTACAATTTGCAAATATAGATGAATGCTACTTCAAACTAAAAAGGCAAACGAGCTTCTGTGCCTTCGCCATCAATAAGTTACTACTATTACTGAGCTTTACAATGCTTGCTGTCTCTCATTCTAGTCGATACTCAGAGTAACAGTTCACAAAATAGAGATTACAAGTTTTGAGTGAGGTTACAAGAGTGAGTAATATGACTAGGAACTGAAACCACAATCCAAACACAAGTGCAATCAGCAAAGTCCAAGAACCACAATAACATTATACACATAGAAGTCTCACAACAAAGCCCTTAAAAACCAAGCACATGAAGGAGTACTTCACCACTGAAATTCTCATATTTCCAGACTGCAAGGAAATAGCAATGTGATAATTTGTACACAAAATGCTGGCGATCTAAGTACAAAAAAGACAGGAAGTGCAATTTTGTCACAAAAACATGGCTAAAAAGAAAAGGATCTTCAAAACTACATAAAAAGCATGACTCAAGGCTTCAAGCTTATGATGAAAACCATGACCAGTTCCTGCAATCTGGAAAGAGATAACAGCCAACTACTACCTCTATCCCTTGAACTTGTAGTTTCAGACATTTTAATCTCAATCACTAGTACAAGAATCTCCCACTCCTCCAAAGAAGCCACGTAACTCGTAACCCAAGATAAAATTTAATTGGAAAAAATCATATTGAACAAGGAAAAAAAATTACATACATACCAATTATACTGTAAGTGATATAAAAGAAATGCCACTAACAGGTTTGTTGTTTTTTTTAATGCAAACATACTCTTTAAGACCTTACGGTAAAGATTCACTTATGGATAAATCAGCACAGAAAGCAGTAAAGAAAATCTGAGCTCAGCTCAACGACAAACAACTGAAACTAACCTTGAACACTTGTGATCCAGGCTCATTGTATGTTTTGGCATTTTTTGCCAGAAGATCTATATCCTTGGCCATTGCATGAATGCTTTTGTATGTTCCATTCTGTATGACAAAAAAGACAACTGGCTAAAGTGCTTCAGATAACATGAAAACTAAGTCAACAGTGTAAAGCAAAGGGAATTAACATAGAAAAAGAGGAGTATTTACAGAAAAACAGGAACATATTTATTAAAAGAGCATATAAGTATCTGGAAGACATAAAAAATACAAGGTCTAAGTCACTATAACCTTATGAATGCTAATGGAAAGACTGAGAAAATACTTAATGCACTAGATTATCCTAATTTTGAAAGGTTCTAACAAAATGTTATTTTGCCTTTATTCTCTAGTTCAATTGTCTTTGTGCTATCCCTCACTATTATACAAAATGCTACAATCACAGAACAATATTTCAAATTACTGGAGAAGATGAAAAACGCATCAGTACAAAACACCTATTTATAGCACTAGGACAAAAGCAGGTGATGATAATGTACAACCAAGCCTCAATACTTGAATGTTTTACATCAGCAGTACTTGCCAAGAAACTGCTTTAAACCATTAAACATCAAGAAACTCTAGATATTCAGGCTCAGTGCCAGCACGATACAGTTTATGATGCTTCATCTTCAACACAGCTACTTCTGCAGCATTATCACAGGACAGAACATTAAATCAGCATACCATTCAGATTTTTAAATAGCAGGGGAAAACACGCTGCCTTTTCTACCACCATAAACTTCAGCTTCTAACAATTTAGATTGCCTACTGTTAAATAAGTCTGTACTCTGACATATTAATATGCTCATACTGTACCTGTATCCTTTGGGCAATAGTTTTAAGATCTATGGGCTCCTTTATTATTGCATAATAATCTGGATATTGCTGGAAAACAAAAATAATTTATGTATTACTATAAATACTCACAAAGCTATTAGATGAATTGCAGATAAGAACAGTTCAAGCTTCATAAACACAGCACTAGGCTTCAATTTGGGCAAGCTAGATCATAAGACAGTTACAAGGAATTATAACTCATCAATACACAGACATACAAGAACAGTTCTGTCTGAACACCAAATATGTGGTGATGGTCTTTCAGAGTATTTGTTTTGTTAAGCTTCTAACACCACACCCTGAAACAGAACCATGAAATCAAATTTTAAAATATTAAAAACTTTGCACCAAAAAAAATCCCAATTAACTAAACTGGCAGGAAAGGGCAAACCCCAATCTGCAATGAAGGGCTGGGAACAAGTGGGGAGGAACAAAGAAGGGAGGAAAACTCTAAAAACAGCTGGAGTTTGCCAGTGATAGGACAGCAACAAAGAACTGCATCCTGAGTGTGCCCATCATAGTGTATCACATCAGTTATAAAAATATCCAGGTTTCCAACTTAAAACACAATCAATATTATTAAAATACCCACCACTTTCGAAGGAAGTTTCTGAAACAGTTCACTTATGAGACGTCCTGACGGGTTTGTGGCAACAACTACAGCTTCAAGAAGCTGTTCAAGAATTTCTTTCAGGTAACCTGGAGATGACTAATACAAGAAATGAAATCACAAGAAGTTTTAACAGCAGCCACAGTGGAGTGCTTCAAGTTGCACTGAAATACATGAATGTACTTTTCAAAGACACAAATCAGCTGTAAAACACAGATGCTACTTTTGAAAACAACATAGTTTATGCATTTAGGAAAAACACATGAGAAAACTTCAATTTCACATTTACACTGCACACTGCCAGACATACACCAAATATTCTTAGAATAGACTTGGTTGCCAACATTAATGAAAACATGCATCCCAGGATCACAAAAAGCAGACAAGCCCTAACTTTGTATCATTGTATCTGGCTTATAGAACGCTCCAGGGACAGCTGCACTAACTGAATGGGACACGTGCTGGAAAACAATGTTGTGAGACACCAAGCTTGCTTGTATCAAATCCCAGTGCTGTACCAAGTGCACATCCTACGAATTTCCACTAAACCAGAACCACATTTTTTCCGTATTGGAAAAACTCGTCACATTTTTTTTGCTAGGCAAAAGTGAAACACACATAAGTGCTGTCAAGTTATTAATGAATTGTAGCAAGATTCTGTGCCTCATATATAAACTTGGATATGAAACACCTTTTGGGACATCATTTATCTATTAAAAGATGTTATGCTTTTTCACACACGGAAGCCAATCTTCCTCTCACAATCAGATGACATACACAGCCACAGCTTCCTTCAACTTACTAATTCAGAATTTGTGCCTTGATTGTCATGTCCTTCCTCATCTTCATCTTCCTCCTCAGCATCACCTTTTTGAACAAATTCATTTTTTGTGCGCAAATACAACTCCCATAATTTGCAGGCAGCTTTATATTCAGGAGAGTCAGGCTGCAAAAACAAATCAAACATCCTACTAAAAATTCAGATCATCACCTGAAAGGAAATTTAAAAATTATTAGTTGAAAGGCATTAAATGTATTAAACAAATAATAGAAAACCTGGGAAATTTCCCATTCAATTGTTTTTCATCAGAAGTGTTAAGAATTGCAATGAGTACTAGAAAATATAACCTCTATCACTCCAAAGCGTTTAAGTCTTTCAGAAAACTGAGCAATAAAATTACCTGAGTTGAGGCTTGGACAAGCCTATTAGATGAATATGGAAAAATAATTCTGTTGCAGCATAACACTCCTGATATTTAAAATAGTCTAAATATCACTATGCCAGAAATGTGATTTAAGTCACTGCTGTCATTGTGTGGCACTTGAAAATTAAATTAAACAGAAGATGAATGTCAATAAATCTTAGGTATTTTTCTTTCCCTTTCCTCTGCCACTTAACTCTATTTCAGGTATTCCTGCAGATACGTCACCTTATTGCTGCTGTTTGTGCTCCTCTTACTTCAGTCTCTCAACCTCTGACAGCTTGTAATACAAATGAGAAACCAATGGGAGAACTATTCCTAAGCTCACCTTATTAGGCTTAAATATTCTCAAGGCATTAACCCAGATGTTAATTATGAGTAACAGAGTTAAAGGGTATTCTGCTCCACTGGTCTGCTTCCTTCTGTATGAATGCAAGATGCTCAGATGTGTAAGACTTGAACCAAAATAGTAAAAAAACAAAACTCCATTCTAATCTAGCATTGCCAATAAAGCACCTGCTGCAATAAAGACCCTGACAATGAATCAGCCATCCCTGTTTCATCTGCATCACTGGAACTGCCCGGGGAAGGTAAAAGATGAAAAGGAAGAGGTTATGTTTTTATGTCCAGCTCACAAATCCCTGTTTCTCTGGAAATGTCAACATTTCTTCATCCTAGAAGAGATAGCTACTTATTTCTACTCTATATGCAAGATTTTTACAATATAGGCATAACTCTGAGTCCACTGTTTGGTAAAGGCAGCACATATTCTGTAAAATTCTCACCATTCTTTCCTGCCATGAAGTCCTTTTCTCTCATGTAGAAACTATAAAAAAGCCAACATTAATGCAGGAGGGCCTAGCAAAACTTCAGGAGTACATGATGAATTTCGAAATCTTTGTACTTTTTCTACTGTAACCAGAATGTGCAAATGCATTCATCCATAAATCTGATTGTTTTGCAAAAAGTTACACATACAAGCAAACACACACAAAATAAACACTGCTTTTCTGAATGTCACCTGGTTACAGTGGTTAGGTTATTCAGAAAGCAGTCTTCTGGATCATTTCCAAAGTGAAAGATACATGAAAGGTAGTATTAGCAGTTTTAAATGTGCTGAATCATTTCAGTCTCTACATACAATTCCATTGTTCTATGTATTTAACAGTCTTCCATTAAACAAGATTAACCCAACTTCTTTCCAATTCCTTATGGCAACTGCAATAAAACCCATTAATATCTAAAACAAAACACACATCCAGTTTGGGGGAAGGGATATGGGGGTTGCACCCTTGATTAAACACACTGTCATACAAAATCTGTCATCACTGACTATGACAATCAATGTGCCTTTTTTCATTTTATTAAGTGACCAGTGGAAGAGAAAGATCCAATACTCCTACAGTATGCTTGCTGGTTTTTACAAATTCTTCCTTTTAAGAAAAAAATATTTTTCTATTTCAAAAGGTTACATAGAATATGTTGTAGCATGGGAAGGCTTTGATAGGAGAGTATTTTTCTCCATTTGCATCTCTATTTTTCATTTCTAACTCTCTTAGAAAACTACATGAAGATCACCCCCATATTTTACAGTTTTCCACAGAAGAATTGTTATAGTAGGACATCTTACAAAGGTACAGTCAACATTACAGAAATTTATGCAAATAACTGTAGTGTGTGCTGTTCTCTTACTACTAGTAAAGGCTGAAAACTGAAAAGTTTTTTGGCCAAACTAAGGAAGGATTTGAACATATCTCTACCACTTCTACAGCTAATTTGAACCTTCACGTGCAGTTTCCTCACCTTATAGTAAGCCTTTGCGTTGTTGAAGAGAAGCTGAAAATCAGCAGTCAGTACATTCACATCATCATATTCCTCCATCTTCAGCTTTTGCTGGATTTTCATTAAATCAATTGGCTGAGAAACCACTTCATAATAATCTGGCTGATTTCTGTTGCAATGACAAAAATAGCATTATATTCTCAGCAGTAAAACCAAAACCACAGCACTCAAGTTTGTACATGTCTGTGACTAAAAAAAAAAACAAAGAAATTTTCAATACCATTTTGTTACAGCCAGAAGATCTGGGCAGTGGACTATTAGTAGTAGCCTTACTTTATTACATATTCTGTTATCATTCTCAATTTTATGAGTTTAAAAACAAATTCAGTCTCTTCCTTTATCTACTGCATTTTCAAGGCCTGCTTCTATTAATCTTCCCAAGATTTGCCCTTAGTATTAAATTCCACCACTTACGTGGAATATTCTTTAGTCAAAGGTACAGGTGTTTTAGGCAGGTGTCACAAGAAATGTTTTAAATTACTTCAGTGTATTCTCTTTTTGACTGAAAAAGGGCACCAATGTTAGCATTGAAAAATCACATCAAATACAAACACTGGTGACACTATGACAAATTTAGCTTTGATTCTTCACAGCTATTAATGCTGAAGTATTCTTCAATATCCACATATTCTCTGATTAAATCTCAGGTTCCAGGCTTAACCAGAACTTACCTTCTCTTCGGTGCCCTAATGAAAAGCTCACAAAGGAGCCTGCCCTGTTCATCTTTGTAATCTCTGATGGTGTTGTAAAGTTCATGGCATACAGCAATCTAAAATGCAAGCACAACAGAGTCGTGAAAAAGGAGAAAATTTTAAGGATGTAACAAATCAAAGTCTGCTTACAATGAATGGGAAAGACAAGCTGCCAATCCACAGAATGCCCTAAGGAAGAAGTATTAAGAAACTGGAGTATCTCACACATCAGTATCATAGCTGACAAGTACACCAGGTACTGCAGAATTTTAATTTCTTTTTTGAACATGGGGAGCTTTTTTTCAGTGCCAATTCTATGCAAAACACCCAAAATGGAAATTAATTCAGTACAATTCTCTCCAAGTTATAGACATCTAGAACAACGACAGGGGTTCTGCTGCCCTGCAATTATTTAAAATTAGACTGCTAACTCAGAGGCATAACAGAGACATTGTGCACTTCAGCAATCACTGCCTGTGCCTTTCCCCACTTCTTTCTGCATTTGCTATTCAGGCACCACTCTCAGCTTCTGCACATTATGATTTCAGCTCCTTCTCCAACATCTTTCCATCTGTTAAAACCATCAGCAAAAAAAAGAAAAGCAGCAAAAAAGGAAAATGGAAAGGAAAAGGTGAAACTGGGGAGACAAGAACAAGCCAAAGCTGAATGAGATCCTAAACAAAGCTTAGCCAAGGCAGCGACAGATTCAGGGCCGCCGCATATGTGATACTTATCATCATCCATTTTACAATCCAGCACTTCCCAGACAGGGGTACAGTGTCCTCAAGAAAAAAGGTGTGCATAATAAAGTACTAACAGGATCTACAGTTGGGAGATTGGAAAGTCTCCTCCTCTTTCTGCTTGGGCCTGGTACATTCGTGGAGTGGTGGCTGTCATCAAAGTCTCCTCCGCTGACGCTGCTGGAAGGAGAGGTAGCTCTTCGCCTCTTGGAACCCATGGAATCCAACTTCTTCTATAATGAAGAGAAATGTTCTTAAACTCATGACATGGCATCCAAACTGTCTGCTGAGAGCTAACCATAAAGCTAGCAATGCTTAGGATGCATCACATACATTTGTTACATACTTGACTCCATTAAACCATACATCTAAACACCAGCTTTTTTAAAACGGGCAAGAGTAAAGGGAAAAGAAAATGGTCCAACAGTTTTACAGCCACCAATAGCAGCCATGTGAGGCAGCCTAGGGCTCACAGTGCTGAAGGTAAATTAAGCAGCTCTTACTAGGATATGCTCTTAAACTCTCTACATTTTGATACCTCATCCCATGCATGACAACTAAGCAAGAGCTACTGTTTCAAAGGAAAAAGCTGTACAGAGACATTAATTCAGTTCTGCTGTCAAGGCATGACTTTCCATGTCATCATTAAAAAAACAAAACAAAACAAAACAAAACAAAACAAAACAAAACAAAACAAAACAAAACAAAACAAAACAAAACAAAACAAAACAAAACAAAACAAAACAAAACAAAACAAAACAAAACAAAACAAAACAAAACAAATAAACAAACCACCAAACAAAACAAAACAAGCAAATAAACAAACAAAACAAAAAAAACCCCACAAACCAAAACCACACAAAGGAAACAAATTACAAATAAAAATTCAAATCGCTACTTGAATACCTTGTCTTAGATTCAAGCCCAAAAGGGTCTGGACCACTGCATGACCTATCACTACCATTTCGGTGTAGGAAGAATGGCTCCATCATCAAGAAGCAGAAAAAGCCACCTCCTTTTTTGTCCATAGTGACAAATGAATAACCACCATCCAAGAGCTATGGTGATTTACAGAACAAGTTGCTGGCTCTTTCCGAACTGCCAGTAGCAGCATCAGAAAAGTATCTTTATTTGTATCTGTCTCAAAGGCTGAGGACAGAATAGATTAATCTACCCCAGTCTACACCTATTTTTCAACCAAATCAAGGAATTTCTTCCAGGAAGCATTCCACTGATTCACAGGCTGTGGCAGCACAGCATAATCATATTTGAGCATTCATGTTAGAGACAGAATTAATTTCAAGCACACAAATGAGATTAATAAGGTGAGAATAATTAACATGTAGGATAAAGAAAAGCAAAACCCTAAGGCAGAGGAATGGAGAGAATGATGCACATACAATCAATAATTTTCCAGATTTACCAGAGTACAACCAGCACCTCGAAAAGCCAGTCTCCTCATACTGTCTGATGGCCAAGTACAGATACTGGGAGAAGGTAACACTCTTAAGAGTAGCAAACCAACAATGGTGTTAGTACAGCCAAAACTGGAAGAAAAAGGAAAGAGAGAGAGAGAAGAAAATTGACACTGGAGAGATAATTAATGAATAAAGTCAAAGAACAAATTGAATAATTACAGTGACAGAGAAAAAAAGCAAGAAACAGAAGGTAGCTTTTTTTAGCCTAGCAGAAACTCTACAAAGTAATTTTGTACACAGAATGCCAGACATTTCTGCCATTTTTACAGTGAAAATACATTTTTCTAATGTTCCTGCATACATATTACAGATTTCACAGCCACTTTCTGGAGAATGATTCATCAAGCAGAGCTGAGAGTAAACACAAGTAATATCTGACCTGAGAGTAAAAAACAGAAACCAGTAAAACTTACAGAATGTGAAGCAGTACAGTTCTTGTAACAGTAAGAAAATATTTTTAAGGTCAAGAAACATTTAATAGTCTCTAGTGATGATGTACCTCCATCAATCCTCAGAGTGGATTTTTACTCTCATACGCAAGCAACATTAAGGAACTAGCCATAAATGTTGACTAAATAATATACCTATGGCAATTTCTAAGCAGTCCCAAAATCTGATTTATTTTTCAGCAATCCCACGTGAAATGTACATAGCTACTTAATGGCAAAACAAATGCTTCCATTTTGTTCATACAACTACTGCCTTCAATCAAACCCCAGAAAGATTGTTTTCCTGTTTAGTATTCTGGACATTTTCATAACATGCACATACAGAGAAACTCTTTGCCTTATTAGCAGGGAATTAATCTCAGGAATGAATGACCAGCCTGTCGCTTTTGGCACTGCCTCCAGCTTTTATCTGAGAGCTACAGTGTCAAATAGCCAACAGCAGGCACATGCTGATGTGGGGGCTGCTAGAAAACACAAGTTCTTGGCCGTGAAAGAAAGGCTGGAGGGACTACTTGAATCAACAGTTGTTGTTCATCCAGGAACCCAGAAGTACCCTCAGTCCAGTCCCATGCTGAAATAAAAGATCTGGGGAGGCCCCAGTCAGCACCTGCCTGCAAACTGCATACAGGCTTCTCCATGTCTGTGATCTGAGGCACAAGTGCTGTGGCTCTCAGCCACACTCAGACCCCTGTGTACTCTTGTACCATTAAGACACTTGGTCACTCCGTGCAGCCTCCGAAACCATTTTCCTCCTCTAATAACCAAGGAAGGTGCAAAACACGTATCAGTCTGAACAACACCATGAACAGTCAGAGACAGAACTGCTTGGGTAAAATTCCTACCACATGTCAGGCTCCAGCACACAAACTTTTCTCTAGATCTCCATGCTCATAAACACAGATAATCCGTTTCTGCACAGAAATGTATTCCATCTTGCTTAAGAACACATCTCCCAGGCTCTCTCCTGCCATGTAACTGCTGGCTCACCAGTGTCTCAGGAGTCACATCAAGAACCTTCCCCGCTACAAACGAGCCATCTCCTCTGCAACCCGAGCTTGATCATCTTCTTAATAATTGCTCACACCGCCCATAAAAATGTCACATAACCGTAGACATCTCTGTAATAAATGCTTTGGCCATTACTAACACATGTGTATACTAATATCTACACAACGGGTGGAAGACTGTCTCTCCAGCAAGCTGTACTGAGCACTGCAAGCATTACCCAGCCTAACCTCAGGAAACCAACAGTTTTTACGTGCAGTGAAGATAAAACACTGAAAACAAGCCAATGAGTTTCTAGCACACATGTCATTTTCTGCCTCCAAGTAGAAAAAAAAAGCTAAAAGCCGACAGATACCACAGAAAGTATTTTGTCGTTATCAGGGTCTCCCACGTTCCAACAGAAATACTCACTAGATCACGGTAAATTTAGCACAAGGAACCAGGGAGGGAAACACAGCCAGAATTCCCCCTGATTACCGATCACACTGAAACCAGCCACAGGACAGAGGGGGGCCGGGGATAAAGGGATAAAGTTGGTGAAGAAGCGAGAGGCACAAGCACATCGATCGTCTTACCGACACGGGGACAAGAAGCAAAGAGCCAAACCCGGGAATCTCCCCAGCCCGCCCCGAGCCCAGCCCGGCCCGGGAGCTGCTATTGTTGCTTGGAGGAGACAAAGACCAACACCTTTCGGGGCTCCGGGCCCGCCCGTGCCCTCACGGTCTGACAGGACGATGTTCCCTCCCCACAGCGGGCAGGGCAGGCTCCGCTTCCCCGGGTCTCGCTCCCGAGGCCCCGAGAGCGGCCGGGCTGCCGGCCCCGGGGCTCGGCCCCCGCGCGGCC